CCACGAGGGTTAGCGCATTGGGCAAGTTTTCACCTCCTGTCAACTACAACGGCCTGCCACAACTGCCCGCAGCCCTACGAGACGATGGGCCCCAGTCGGAGCGACCTCCTCGGCCGTCGCTGGCCAGGACAACGGTGCGCGCCCGTCTCGTCGTCGGTCCGCTGTCGGCCGTGCACCAGGGCGTGCCGCGACAGTCGATGCCCGCCCTCGCGACACTCGCGCACTGTGATCTCGATGTACTGGTGGTACTGTCGACAGCGGACATGCGGCGGTCATGACACGCCGGCAACGGCCGGGAGTGGCAGCACCAGCGCCACCGTTCCGAGGAATCATACTGATCCTGATGCATGGTATGATATGATAATGATGCTGACATCGGGGGCTGCGGTGCGTCTGCGGAAAAAGAGACTTGTCGAACGAGCCTCCAGGACCGTGTGACCCTGACCAAAACATCAGATCCTACACTGCATCAAAATTAATCAAATCTAGATCAAGTTAGGATCCCTCACCATATCCAAACTGAACTTCTAACGCTTCTAGGTCCTGCTTCTAGGTCCTGACCAGAACGACCTGCGCGTCGCGGACCAGGCCTGAAACCAGTTCTGGGACGCCGCAAGTCTGCGGCTGCCCGGTCCACCCGAGCGTCCGTACCTCGGCCAGGTCGTAAAGCAGCGTGACCCAGGTCTCGTGCGGCGCAACGGTGACGGCGGCCAGCTGGCGCAGCGCCGTCAGCTGGGCGCCGCCGACACCACCAGCAGGTGCGGCATGTAGGAGCCGTCTCGGGCGAGACCAGCAGCTGCAGACTGTGCACGGTCACGCCCGGCTGCATCTCCAGACGGATCCAGTGCTGCGGCGCCCCGGCCGCGTCAGGGGGCGCCACGCACCGACGCGACACGACAGCTGAACCCCGCCCCTGCACAGCCGGCCCAGCGCCGAGTATCCGGTGTGGCCAATGCAGCCAGATCTGTGGTGTGCTCTACATTACATAAGTACCCCAAAAGTAGATGTTCCTTGCAGAATTCGGCACTGTTTTATTAGCCAGTTAACAGGTGTCAGGGAGGCCGAATTTGGTGACTTAAATGATGCGTATACATAACACGGCTGTCGCGGGTGTGCCGTCACTCGCTGAGGGTGCTGAAGCTGTAATTATGGGGTGCTGAAACTGTATGTGCGCTGAAGCAGTATGCGGTGCTGAAGCGGTATTTGGCGCTGAAGCAGCATGTAGTGCTGAAGCTATTTGTGCCAAACCTGGAGAAAGTGTCAGAGATACGTGGCGTGCCAGCAGTTTGTGCCGTAGCTGGCATGGATGCTGCAGGAACCTGTAACGTATCTTCCGTGGGTGCCGCAGCCCCTTGTGACGTACTTTGCCGTGGGTGCCGCAGCCCCTTCTGACGTACCTTGCCCCGCAGCCCCTTGTGACGTACCTTGCCGTGGGTGCCGCAGCCCCTTCTGACGTACCTTGCCGTGGTGCCGCAGCCCCTTCATGACGTACCTTGCCCCGCAGCCCCTTGTGACGTACCTTGCCGTGGGTGCCGCAGCCCCTTGTGACGTACCTTGCCGTGGGTGCCGCAGCCCCTTCTGACGTACCTTGCCCCGCAGCCCCTTGTGACGTACCTTGCCGTGGGTTGCCGCAGCCCCTTCTGACGTACCTGCCCCGCAGCCCCTCGTGACGTACCTGCGTGTGGTGCCGCGGCCCCTTGTGACGTACCTTGCGTGGGTGCCGCAGCCCCCTTCTGGACGTACCCTTGCCCCGCAGCCCCTTGGACGTACCTTGCCGTGGGTGCCGCAGCCCCTTCTGACGTACCTTGCCCCGCAGCCCCCTCGTGACGTACCTTGCCGTAGGGTGCCGCAGCTCTGTCCAGGAAGCACGCTGGACGTCCTCAGCCAGTCATGTTGGCGATGTCTCTACGCGGCTGGACACGGATGAGGGCCGCGTACCGGCAGCGCAGGAACTCGGTGATGAGGCCCTCGGCGGCCGGGCGAGGTCGAGGTCGCCGGGCGCCAGGCGGCCGCGGCCCCGGTCGGCCGGCCGCCGTCGGCGCGCTAACCGCCGAGGCGCGAGGCGCGCCGCGTTAGGACGACTCCCGTCTGGAGCCGAGCGCCGGCGGCCCGGCGGCGGGCCCGCGGCCCGGTCGGCCGGCCGTCCGGTCGGCGCGCTGACTCTGCCCGAGCGCGAGGCCGCGTGCGCTTAGGGAGGCGAGTCCCGTCTGGAGCGCGCGCGGCCGGGACCGGCGGCGGGCCGCGGCCCGGTCGGCCGGCCGCCGTCGGGCGCGCCACCTGCCGAGGCGCGAGGCGGCGCGCGCTAGACGACCCCGTCTGGAGCCGAGCGCGGCCGGACCGGCGGCGGCCGCGGGCCGCGCCGCTCCTTGGGACGTCACAGACTGACGGAGCTCGGCCGCCTGCGCGCTGAGCGACACGAACTGTGACCTGCTGCAGACGCCAGATCGCAGCTTGGGGCGAACTTCAAGCAAGTCGACAGCCCGGACCAAAGTGGTCTATCATCCGCGGGTCGGACAATGCCAACCAGCTGCCGCACGAGGCCCCGTATGCCAGTTGTCAGCCCGGCCACGGGCCGGCTGGCGGCTCTGACACTAACCCGGCTCTACCAGACGGTTAAACCCGTGCCGGTGGCCACGCGTGGTCCTGAAGCAGCTTTCGCAGAGGTCCCACAGCGGTCGCAGACCTTGCAGATGTAACGCGGGTCCTGGAACGGAGGCCGAACGCACCATCAATGGGCATGTCGCCAGCATCACTGGCGTACTGGAAAGCAGGGGTGGCACGGATGGGGCCGGGGGTCCGTTGGGTCTGGGTAACCGCGGTTAACAGGGAAACGGTCATTCGTTTATATTAATCGAGAACCACGTACCTGCATACAGAGTGTGGTGATGAAGTAACCAGATACCTGTTGTTTTCTGGCATTTTTAGAGTTTTACGCTGATTCATGGCCGTGAGTGGAGGGCACAAACAGATCGCCGTGACATCTCTGCCATTTGACAGATATCAACAGCTGAAGACAACAATCTTCTCACACGAATGTCACAACACCCGCCAGCCTTGAGCCGCAACCACCACAACCCGCCACCGTGCAGCAGCTGCACATAACCTTGAGCCCCACAGAGGCCGCCGGCACGCTGGCACATCGGTACACAGATGGCGCCACTCTACTGATCCTCTCTCTCTCTGGACTGATAGCAGGCGCCTAGCAACATTATTCTTAGGGCGAGTCATTATTTTCCAACGCCGTGTGAGTTTCCAATAAATTCCAGCGAAATCACCTCGTATCTATTTCAACCGATCGGCACAGGGGGGGGGGGGGAGGGGGCTTGTCCCTTTCCTTGGGTACATCCCTGGTTGGTAGGGCCGTCTGGCAGTGGCATTTCCACCCAACACCGGAGAGGAAGGACGAACTCTCTCCATTGCAGGGCAATGGCCAGTGCGGCGAGCGTGCTACATCGGTGCTTTCCCTCACCCACCGCCCGGTCTCGTTCACACGGCAGCCTCCAGCGCCACCCCCGCACCAAACCTCACCGCATGTCGACCTCTTGCGCTGCCAGGTCCAGCGCCACCCCTGCACCAAACCTCGCTGCAGGTCAGCCTCCTGCGCCGCCAGGTCCAGCGCCACCCCCGCACCAAACCTCACCGCATGTCGACCTCCTGCGCCGCCAGGTCCAGCGACCAAACCGACCTGAGCTGGAACGACCTCCCATGCGCTGTGTGCAACAGAGCCTGCGCCGCGAGCCGCACCGCACCCCCGCCCAGACCCGGCCCGCCGGCGTGCCCGCGCCACTCACCGACGATGGGGGCGGCGGCGCAGACGGCGCAGCTGACGCCCGGGTGGCTGGTGGGCACGGGCTCGATCTCGGTCAGCAGGCCCGTCCAGTTGCCCTGCTGCGGGAAGTCGATGGTCACGTCCCGGCCGTTGCTGCTGATGCCTGCCGGCGCCGCACACAGACGCGACCGTCGGAGGAGAGCCAGTGGTGGCGGCGGTGGCCATATCACCGCTGCTGCTGCACAGACGCGACCGTCGGAGGAGAGCCAGTGGTGGTGGCGGTGACCATATCACCGCTGCTGCTACACAGACGCGACCGCCGGAGGAGAGCCAGTGGTGGTGGCGGTGACCATATCACCGCTGCTGCTACACAGACGCGACCGTCGGAGGAGAGCCAGTGGTGGTGGCGGTGGCCATATCACCGCTGCTGCTACACAGACGCGACCGTCGGAGGAGAGCCAGTGGTGGTGGCGGTGACCATATCACCGCTGCTGCTACACAGACGCGACCGTCGGAGGAGAGCCAGTGGTGGTGGCGGTGACCATATCACCGCTGCTGCTACACAGACGCGACCGTCGGAGGAGAGCCAGTGGTGGTGGCGGTGGCCATATCACCGCTGCTGCTACACAGACGCGACCGTCGGAGGAGAGCCAGTGGTGGCGGCGGTGGCCATATCACCGCTGCTGCTACACAGACGCGACCGTCGGAGGAGAGCCAGTGGTGGTGGCGGTGACCATATCACCGCTGCTGCTACACAGACGCGACCGTCGGAGGAGAGCCAGTGGTGGTGGCGGTGACCATATCACCGCTGCTGCTACACAGACGCGACCGTCGGAGGAGAGCCAGTGGTGGTGGCGATGGCCATATCACCGCTGCTGCTACACAGACGCGACCGTCGGAGGAGAGCCAGTGGTGGCGGCGGTGACCATATCACCGCTGCTGCTACACAGACGCGACCGTCGGAGGAGAGCCAGTGGTGGTGGCGGTGACCATATCACCGCTGCTGCTACAAATGATATATATGCATATGCATTATGTACATATATATATATATATATATATATATATATATATATATATATATCGAAAACAGTCAGTCGCAAATGTGGTAATTGCTGTTCGGATGGCTGGGGTGGGGTCTACAACTTACCAGCGACACACACCTACACACCGAACAGCAACAATACAGTAATACAGTAAGAACAGTAATAAAGAGGCAGAAGACTCCGGTCGGCCCCGGTGGCCGCAGCCAGATGGAAGCCCTCAGAAATCACCAGCTCCAGCCAGAAAGGTATGCTCCACTCGCACACCGCATACAGTAGTTCACGATGTTAATAATGCGCTTTAATCCGAAGCCTAACAGATCCAACACTTCCCACGACGGTGGCTTGCTGACGCCCCTGCCAGCTAACACAGCAGCCCGCAGTCCGGCCGCGTAACCCGCTCGCACGCCGCTGCCACCCCTTCTCGCTGACCTGTGACGATGCCGATGCTGCGGTGGGTGACCGAGCCCCACTTGTACTTGGGCGTGTGGACGGCCGGTCGCACGCGCACACGATCACCGACGCGCACGTGCGTGGTGGCCGCCGCCACGGCCGCCACGCCCAACAGTTCCACGTGGATGTAGCGCACCCAGTAGGTGCCCACCTTGCGCTGCCAGTTGACCTGGGGTCGGACCGGGCCGTCAGGAAGGAATGCCGGCCAACGGGCGCCGTGTTCCGTGTCCCACTACCATACACACACACACACACACACGAGGCGACCGCTGGGGGAAACCGGCGGCAACGATCCACACAAAGCGGTTCACGACTGCCACCACGCCGTAATGGGGTAGCGCGGTGAAGCGGACTCTACACTGCACCGCATCGCGACGTAAGCGGATGCCGCTAGCTCTACCCAGTCAGCAGAGGCACTGATGCCACCTTCTCCTCTCGGCCGCGTACACGGCAGCGGACGTGGCAGCAGCCAAACATCCAAAGCACCCCACGCTGTTCTGAAACTACATTGCCCGAACAAAACGCGGGCGGCTGTTAACCCTCCACGCCGGACACCACAGCGGGCGCCCACAGCCAGCGCCGAGCCGAGTCTGGAGGACGAGCAGGGCGGCGGGCGAGCAGGGCGGGCGGCGCACCTGGACGTTGAGGTCGTGCAGGCCGTCGCGGTCCAGCTTGACCACGGTGCCGACGTCGCCCTCGTGCACCTCCTCGTAGGAGCGGCAGCAGCGCACCGTCAGCCCCACGGCGATGTGCGTGCGCACGTACAGGGCGTAGTCGTCGTTCGAGGCGAACTGGTGGCGCCGGCGGAACGCCTCGGCCGGGCCCGGCTGGCGGCGGAGAGGGCACCGTCGGGTCCGGCCAGAGATTCGGGGTCCGGCCGGAGACCGTCCGGCGAGACAACTGTATCGTCTAGGGAGCCGTGCCATGCCAACGTCTGGCCCACCGAGCGGAGACACGTCATGATACGGACTATCAGTTCACTGCGCGTGCACCACATTTGCGTGTATTTCGGTGGTCACATATGGGTGCATACAAATTTGTTGTCATGAAATGCCCAACACTATGCCTTCTATCTCCGAACGCCTACCACAACTTTAACAGGAGTTAAAACACTTATAACATCGATAATCATGCAAGATAATCATCAATAATAATAATCAATAATAATCTGCGATCATCACCGGTAATTACTTAAGCTAGTACCACAACTATCATACACAGGATGTGCACGTGAAGCGTGGACTGATATGGATCCCACCCGCCTGCCTAAAGCGTGGATAGTTATCATTTGTAAAAGCGTGGGTGTTACTGCTCCCCACCACTAATACCTCCAGAGCACCAGATCATCACCTGCACGGGCGCCTGGTAGCCGGTGGCGCCGGCGGCCGCCGAGTCGGAGGTGCTCGTGTCCTCGTCGTCGTCCTCCTCCTCCTCGCGCTCGTCGTCGGAGGAGAGGGAGCTTTCCTCGGAGTCGGAGCTGGAGCCGCTGGTGGGCAGGTGCTCCAGGATCCAGGCCACCACCGACTCCGCGCTCGGGGCGCCGTCTGACGGCCAGACGCGGAGCGCGGTCAGGTCAGAGCCAGGCTCACGCGCCCCCCGAACAATGGCGTCGGCACGGCGACATCGGCAACGCCTTCAACACAAAACAGGGCGTCTCTACGCTCGTCATCAAAGGATAAGTCAATTGCATGAGTTTTTTCCAGCACTCTTCTCTAAATGCTATCCCACCCTGACTTGTTATAATACATGATCATCCTTTCCAACTCCACACCACAGTGTTGGCCAGTATCCAACAGCTGTAGTATCGAGTACGCGGTCACACCACAGTGTTGGCCAGTATCCAACAGCTGTAGTATCGAGTACGCGGTCACACCACAGCTGTTGGCCAGTATCCAACAGCTGTAGTATCGAGTACGCGGTCACACCACAGTGTTGGCCAGTATCCAACAGCTGTAGTATCGAGTACGCGGTCACACCACAGTGTTGGCCAGTATCCAACAGCTGTAGTATCGAGTACGCGGTCACACCACAGCTGTTGGCCAGTATCCAACAGCTGTAGTATCGAGTACGCGGTCTGCATTCAAAGCCCGGCAGCATAACCGCCTTCGCGAAGCCCGACACCCCAACCCCAGTCCTCAGTAGAGGCGACCACGTCAGGTCGCCCCAGCCTCTGCCCCAGCCCCGGACGCGCCCCCGCCTCTGCCCCAGCTCCGGACGCGCCCCAGCCTCTGTCCCAGCTCCGGACGCGCCCCCGCCTCTGCCCCAGCTCCGGACGCGCCCCAGCCTCAGCTCCAGTTCCCAACGCGCCCCCGCCTCTGCCCCAGCTCCGGACGCGCCCCCGCCAGCTCCGGACGCACCCCCCGCCTCTGCCCCAGCTTCGGACGCGCCCCAGCCTCTACCCCAGCTCCGGACGCGCCCCCGCCTCTGCCCCAGCTCCGGACGCGCCCCAGCCTCTGCCCCAGCTCCGGACGCGCCCCCGCCTCTGCCCCAGCTCCGGACGCGCCCCCGCCTCTGCGCCGGCCGCCGACGCACCCATGCACTGCTGGGCGCGCTCCACCGTGCGGCGCACGAAGCCCATCTCAATCAGCTGGCGCACCACCTCGCTGGGCGGCGGTGAAGAGGCGCGGCGCTTGCGGCGCGGCGGCGACGAGCGCGCCGCGCCGGCCGCACCCAGCGACGGCGTGTCGGCCGCGCCCAGCTCCGGGCGCGCGTGGTGCAGGTCGTACGCCAGCTGCTGCGATAGCGCCAGAGCTGCCACCTGGGAAGCAGAGAGGGGAAGTGGTCAGGGCGCTAGACACTGGTGGATGGGAGCGGAAGTGGTAGCGTGCTGACAACTGGCCGTTGGGAGGGAGTTTGGTCAGGGTGCCATGGCTGTCTGTCTGAAGGGCTTGCAATGCTGCCACATTCATCGAGTCAGAAACCAGACGGCAATGCACGGGTTGCACGGGCAAGCAGGCGTTGACAGCAAGAATTGCTGGAAAAGGTACAAAACAATGTTTTGGGGATTAGGCGAGACTCTGGTTGAAAACGTCCAGCAACTATCTAATGGCATTGTTTGTTAAGTCATGCCAGTTTCCCAACCGGTATACCAATGGCACTGCACATCGGGACCGTACGATCGCTGACTTCAGAGTCCCCGACTATCCACCAGCGCTACAGCCTGCCGCACCTCGATCTCGAGCGGGCTGTACCCGGTTTTGACCGGACTGGGCTGAGTGGCGACGGCCGTGAGCCGCTGCAGCAGCTGCCGGCTCTGCAGGACGCGGCGCAGCAGCTGCTGCCGCCCCGTCAGCTGGCGGCAGGCGGCCAGCGCCGCCACCTGCTGCTGTTGCTGGCGCACGCCGGCGCGGCTGACGGCCGCTGCTGGTCCGGGGTCAGGGGTCAGGGTCAGTACGGCGGCACGGGTCAGCCACGGAGGGACACCAGAAGCGGTTCAACGTACCGTGACATGTCTGGCAAAACCCTCCTCAGCACACATTACAAGATCCAGACGGCACGCCAGCGCGCCGGCCGCACTGACAAGCTGGTCCCGACCTACCCTGCATCGGCGACTTGATCTGCTCCGCCCGTGGGGCCTCCATGGCGAACAGCAGCAGGTTGGCCCACATCTGGATAAAGTCATCCGACGTCGGGAACCTCTCTGAGGGAGACGGGACACGGCCGTGGTGGCGACAGGCTCACGATGTCAGTGGGTTGGAACGCCAGTGCTGTGAGCACGGGCATGTCTTCCCAATAATTTAGCCAAGCGTGGCACCCAACGTGGCCATGCGCACGAAGTTCAGTAACGACAAAAATAGCTAGATCAGAAGTACACGCTCACACTGTCCGACGCCTTATCGACAGGCCGCAACACTAAAACAAGGAGCTGCTTCCAAAAACGCAGGCGACGATACCATTTATCCGTCTCCATTTGCAAACGCATTTTCCCAGTTTTCAATAATCGTTACAAGGGCATGCGACACGGAATCTGCGAGAAGCACAGCCGCCATCGAGCCACCAGTGCCCTTGCCGCCGATCGGCGCGGAGGCGGCGGGCCCGCCGGCGGGGGTCGACTGACCGACGGTGGGCGGCACGGACGGAAGGCCGACGACGGCCGCCACCGGCAGCCGCTTCAGCTCGCCCGAGCACAGCAGGCGCACGAACAGCTTCTGCACGCCCAGCCGCACCACCAGGCCTGCGGCACACGCGGGCGCGCGGCGGCCGCCGTCAGGACGGCGCCTGAGCGAGCGCCCGCCCGGCGCCGGCGCACCGGCGCGCGGCGGCCGCCGTCAGGACGGCGCCGGAGCGAGCGCCTGCCCAGAGCCGGCGCACCGGCGCAGGCGGCCGCCGTCAGGACGGCGCCGGAGTGAGCGCCTGCCCAGCGCCGGCGCACCGGCGCAGGCGGCCCCACATCGGCAGGGAGGTGCGACACACAAGCGACACGCGCTGTCAGAGCGGCGCCATGATGGTGGTGAGTCAGCTGAACTCGACGCGTGACGTCACGTAGCCTGAGGCGATACCGCTGCAGCTGGTCTGGTGAGCGAGGCTGATCACTGAGCTGAGGTGGTGAGCGTGACGCCAATCACCCACTCAAATGACTCCTGACCGCTACCATTAACAACAATGAGGACAATGGCATTCGATAAGGACACTGGCCCCATCCACGGCACCTGCTGTCGCTGTGGCCGCGCCAATCAGCGCCAGTCATTTGTCTGGCGTCATACAATGACACGATGGTCATAGTTCTCCGATGACGTCACGAGATGCGTCACAGTCCTGCAGTTTCCGCAGCCGCTGGAGGACCACCGTAGTGATCGCAGACGGCGCTAAGACGAAATTCAGCGCGTTTAAGACAATGCCAAGTCCGCATGCTTGAAGCAGTATGTGCAGCGTCGATGGCGTAAACAAAGCGAACTAACTTGGGGTATGCTACTCTCACTAGCGGCCGCGATTGTAATTATTTGTCTCACTCCACAGGCGGGTAAAGCCACGCCGAAACCCGTGATGGCGCGCACACCACGCATGTATACGCATTCACGAACGCATAGGGGTTCATGGCAGAAATCCTCTCATGACGCTCGACCTCCAGGGCGATGTTTTCCACTCACAGCAGCGAACGCAGTGACCGCAGGCAGCGCGAGCAGGACCACTACTCGTAACAACCACAGAGATGGCCATCGCCATCTGGCTCAAGACAACTCGAGATGGCCATCGCCATCTGGCTCAAGACAACTCGAGATGGTCATCGCCATCTGGCTCAAGACAACTCGAGATGGCCATCGCCATCTGGCTAGAGACAACTCGAGATGGCCATCGCCATCTGGCTAGAGACAACTCGAGATGACCATCGCCATCTGGCTCAAGACAACTCGAGATGGCCATCGCCATCTGGCTAGAGACAACTCGAGATGGCCATCGCTATCTGCAAAATACCGGACATATAGCGCGTCCTTGTTGGTCCGTTCAGCTCCGACTCTGACCCGTGCTGCCAGCCGACACTCACCACGGTTGTCGGCTCCGACACGGACCAGGCCGCCCAGCCGCGGCCGCGGGTCGACGCCGCCGACGACGGAGACGGCCGCCAGCAGCGCCGCCTGGCGGTAGTCTCCAGAGGCGTCGTCCGGAGGCGACTCGGCTGGCGCCTGTGCAGCACGGGGCCCGGTCACGCGGGCGGTGGCATCGCACCGGGGGCGGCGGCGGCGGCGGGCTGCCGCCACCACGCGGTCACGGCCCGACACCGGTACCACCAGTGGCCACGCGCCGGCGCAACGACCACGCTTCACACGGGAGAAGGCTGTGCAGTGGTATGTACGGTCGGGTGTGGCCATGGACGTTGTTAAGTGTCGGCTTGGTGTGGCGGAAGGCGTTAGCGGCGCATTGGGACAAAACATGGGATCAGTTATCAAGCATTGCCTCATTCGACCATAACTCAGTCAAGGAGCACAGCTGGTCGACCAGATGACCTGGTCACGGCTCCAACACGTCCGGCTGCTTCCGTAGCAAGTTAGACCTCGTTATAGAGTACAGACACGGGCAGTGAGGCACGCAGCAGCGCGGCCTCACCTCATTATCAGCGGCCGGCTGGGCGGGCAGCGCCGCCACGCAGTCGGCCAGGTACTGGCTGGTGACGGCCGTCCAGTGGGGCAGCGCGTGAAGCCGACGCACCAGCGCCACCACCTCCTCGGCCAGCGTCGAGGTCAGCGACGCGGTCAGGGAATGGCGTCCGCCGGCGCGCACCAGGCCGTCCCCGCCTGCAGCACCGTCGCCGTCACGCTCACACGGAGACGGGCCGCAGCAGCCTCTGTACATGGGCCGAACGGCCACAGACGGATCCGCGGCCCGACAGAACGTCCGCACGCAATATGCCCAAGGGCTGACACACACTTTGGTGATGCCTGGCTGTTTGACCTCCAAATGGCATCGCGCAGAGGCCCCAGCGACCGCACGACGCCGGGTCTGACCGGCACGAGCCGCCGAAGCCAATCAGCCAGCGACTGACACCACACGTGCGTGACGACCAGAGAGCCGCTCCAGCTTCGCTGCAGTCGTGTCCCAATCAAGAGAGGCGGCGCGCCCAGAGCGGCCGCACCCCACGCACCGTGCGCCAGCTTGGCCTCGTTGGCACCAGTCAGCATGGCCTCCCCCATGCGCGTCAGCAGGCGGTGCAGCAGGGCGCGCATCTGGTCCGGCTCGCGGCAGGCGGCCAGGCATGAGGACAGCAGCAGCACGCTCTGCAGCTGGGCCTCCACCTGCGCAAGGGCACGCCGCGCCGACGGTAGGGCGGGCCGGGCGACGACACAGGGAGGGCAGGCCGGGTGTCAGACCCGCTCAGAACCACCCACAACACGCCACTGCAGTCAGTCTAATGCTGATGACCAGAATGGATGCTGAAGACGATCTCGTTTTGATTACGACGGCTGATGTTAAAGTGAATCCCGTTTTGATTACGACGACTGATGTTAAAGTGGATTCCGTTTTGATTACGACGGCTGATGTTAAAGTGGATCCCGTTTTGATTACGACGACTGATGTTAAAGTGGATCCCGTTTTGATTACGAGCCCCCGCAATTGGCACCGCACCGTGACGACAAATTAATGCGCCCGCACCATCATGTGCACGAATACCGGGTGCAGCCTGTCGACACCAGCAGCCCTCCATCCCTGCGTGACGCCCCCTCACCGGCACGTGCGGCTCGAGCCTGTCGAGCAGCAGGGTGAGCCAGGCGGGCCGGCAGAGGGCGCGCTGTACGGCCGGCGAGCAGCCCGCCACGGCCCGCACCAGCGGCAGCGTGGCCCAGCTGCGGTGCTGCGTGTGCAGCGACGCTTCCGGCTCCTGCAGAGGCGAGGCCGGCTCCGTGCGGCCGTGCTGCCGGCAGCGGCGGGGGCGCGGGTCAGGCACAGCGGTCAGACGCCGGTCTGGCCTGGCCGGGGGGGGTCGACGGCCAGCCGCGAGGACAGCGCCATAATGCGGTCCGCAGAAGGAAGGAGAACAGGAGAACTCTTGACTGGTATCAGAGGTATGTAGATCATTACGCGGAGATAATGATGGCAGGGCGCTATCATATAATGATCAAATAGTAGAGCCCTACAACCATGACAAAAAGGCCCCAGGCGGAGTATGCATTGACAATGACATCGCTGATTAGGCTGGCCTCACCCGGACGCACGCGGGAGCCAGGCCTCACCCTGAGGACAACCCCTGACCGGGGACGTCGCCCTCACCCTGACAATGTCCCTGATGAGCGCCGTGAGCCGATGCACGCTGGCGGGCGCCGTCGCCTCGCCGTGCAGGCCGGCCGCCAGCGTGTGGGCCTGCAGCAACCGCAGGCAGCTCTGGCGGAACAGGCTGGTCGGCTGTCGGCTCTCGGATGGCGCCTCTGTGGCCGCTGCGGACACGGCGCGGCCGCGTCACCACCACCACACGCTGACACGGCACTCGGCGCACGCCACTGCCGACACTGCGTCAGTGGTGTGACACAAGGACGCCAGATCAGCTCACTGGACACGGGATAGTGCCCATGGACGCCGAGAAGGCGCCACACGTGTCAGATACAGGACACTGAACAGCTGGCACAGGACACGGAACAGATGACACAGGACACGGAACAGATGGCACAGGACACTAAACAGCTGGCACAAGACACTGAACAGCTGGCACAGCACACGGAGCAGATGGCACAGCACACGAAACAGATGGCACAGGATACGGAAGATGGCCCAGAACAAGGAACAGATGACACAGGACACAGAACTGACCGTACAGAACACGTACCCGATGACACAGGACAGCCACGTCGTGGCCGTGATTGAGCGCATGTAAAACATTGCGCTAGCGGTGTTTTAACCACCCTCACGGACGAAACGGAACACGAAACAGACGGCACAGGACACCAAAGGTTCCCTATTAACCGGTCACCAAAAATGAATTAAAATGACTAAAATGGATACTTCCGCCAGATCGGAAGAATGACAACCAAAATGAACATTTCACCATCGAATGGATCATTGCCACCCATATACATGTTTTCACCGCCGTTTTTTTCCGTAATCCCTACCCAAGCCAACAAGTACGAGAAGGAGATGTTTAGCGTCATTTCCACCGGACTGGCTGGGGTTTCACCAGATAGCTGAAACAAACCACCCAGATATAAAAGGAAATCGATAATTTGTATCAGAATTTAGGATATTGAGCCCAACGGCAAAAGCAACGGCAATATTTTAAACCAAACTGGCATCAACTTGCCAATATCTTGGGACGCAGACGCCATTACTCACAGTGGAGTCGCGTCCTGAGAGCGAGTCGCTGACTAGCATTGAGTTTCGTACATACCTTTACATCGGCGGGCGAAGCCAGGTGGTGGGGAGGGGAGGCACAGGGGACATATCCTCCCGGTAAGCCGTGAGTGGCTCTCGGGACCCTGGGCACAGACTATCAACGGCCTGATTGGAAGGTCCGAAGGGTTGGCCGGGAGCAGCTCCGTGGCGAAGGCCCGGTCCCTCAAGGTCGGCCACATGGACTCGTCGCGCCTGTCGGGGGTCCCCGGGACTACAAAAGCGTCTATGTAGGTCCGAAATCACCAATGTTAAGTACTTGGCTCTGAGTCAGTTTGAAGCCTGGGGTCCCATTTACGAAGCAGGGACAAGGCCAGTGTCTGCAGTTGTTACTGAAGTCCTCCTGCATTGGCCGGAACCCCTTAAACAATGTGGCTTCCTGTACTAATGCACAGAGAGCCTTACAGGCGAGCCTGTGTCGGCAAGGGACTCCGAGCCGACCGCAGGCACATCTTGCTGAAGAGGAGCGGGACGGGGCTCTGAATACCATAGAGCCACTTGTGTTGGTCCATGCCCCTTTGCCTAACATGGAATGGAAATCAGAGACATCTCGATGAAAAAGTCGACAATGAGACACTAGAATAGTCTGGCCACTCCTGGACTCTAGCACCAAATATGGGCTCTTCAGGGCACCTGAATTTCATTTGTTTTGGTGATTGTTCATGTCCTTCCACCCGTATCGGAGGTTTAAGCCCTGATGCCTGGTTGGTTTACTGTAGCAGATTTTGACTGGCATCAATAGTAATGACTCAGCCTTTTCGTGATAAACTGGCCGTTTCGACATGCAACTTCAGTTGGTGATCAGGATGCATATTTTGGTGATGGAATTGGCCATTCTGGTTGTCCGATTAATTTTATCTCCACACGGAACGGATAGCGCAGGACAAAGAACCTATGACACAGGATATGGAACAGATGGCACAGGACACAAAACCTATCGCACAGGACACAGAACATACGGCATAGGACGCGGTACAGACGGCAAAGGACACGGAAGAGATGGAACAGGACAGCGAAGTCGTGGCCGTAACTGAGCGTGGGTCAAACATCGCGTTAGGGGTTAGGATACAGACACCGGGCCTCCCAGCTCATGCGGCGGAGACCACAAACCAGCGTACGGTGCGTGAATGGCATTAGAGAAATGCTCTGAGAGCGAGGCTGTCTGACGCTGGCGTGGGTGGGCATACAGAACGACAACTCTGGACGTGGACAGAACGACAACTCTGGACGTGGACAGAACGACAACTCTGGACGTGGACAGAACGACAACTCTGGACGTGGACAGAGCGACAACTCTCATGACGGGAGCGGTCTGGCCGAGCGACTCAGGCCGTCCACAGTCTCGGCCGAGACTCACTGAGGTCGTCGTCGTCGTCCTCGTCGTCGGAGGAGAGCGGCTGCGGCACGTCGGCCAGCTTGAGGTCGTAGCGGCCCTCCTTGCCCATGCGGTAGGAGTTGGCCGAGCCGTTGTCCCACTGGACGCGGATCCAGCCGTCCTCGCCCAGCTCTCCGATGACGACGCCCTCGCCGGACGGCGGCCCGTCCTGCGCCGAGCCAGCGCGCCACATCGGTCACGGCGGCCCAGAGGAGCGGCCGGGCACGCGGCGGTGACGGACGAGAGACGCGGGCTCCCCGACACGGCGCCGTCTCACAGCGCACCGAGGATCCGGCACGGCCGCCAGATGGCGCGGCAGACGATGACTGCCATGACACCCGGTATTGCCAAAGGCAATTCACCCCACCGGCGTGGACGATGCAACGAAGACGAGCAGAAAACTACCGAAATGGAGTTCACCAATGTTAGCAATGGTGTTTCACGTGATGGGTGTGATCCATCGACGGTCTGGCCGTCGGTCGAAAGAAGAAGCGGTCCACAAACTCAGTACATCCATTTAAGGTCGCAAACGTGCGTCTAAAGAACCCGGATCTACGAGCCGACCCTCACCCCTCCCCCCTTCCCCATGGCGCCAGCCGCTGACCTGGTCACCCCACTTCCAGTCCTCGCCGCGCACGACGCGCGTGCCTATCTTCATGAGCGCGGCCATCTCGGGCCCGGTGAGCTGGTACTGCGGCGAGCGCTGCCGCTCGACCGTCTCCTCCAGAATGGCCGGCACCGAGAGCGGCTCCTCCGGCCCACCGGACGGGTCCGGACCTGGCGCCAGCGGGGCGGCGTCAGCGAAGGCGTGGGGGGGGGGGGGGCACTGGGCTGCAGCTGGCCAACAGGCAATGTAGGCAGCCCATGCAGTCAAGATGCATACATACACACCAGCTTTGAATTAGCTAACATTAAATAAAAGATAAATATTTCCCACTCAAGGGAGTAGGGCAGCTTAATGACAGCGAGGATCGTGCTGTAAGAGCAAAAGTAACGAAAGTCATACACAATATTAAAGCAGACTATATGTACTTCAACCACATGGCATTGCTCCTGATGACACCACATCAACATTTTGCCAAGAAAATGCATCCCACTCGAGGCTGAGTTTCCATCCAGCCCTCAGTGTATGTCCAGCCGATGACAGCGGTCCGGGGGCGGGCCGGCCGTGGCGCGCGCCGCGGCGAGGGGCCGTACCGAGCAGCCGGAGCAGGGTCTGCGCCGTGGCCAGCAGGCCGGAGCTGACCAGCATCGAGCCCACGTCCGGGCCATGCTCCCCGCTCAGGACAGCCAGCAGCGGCAGCAGGAACCTGCCGGCCGACAGCGCCGCTCACAGACGAGGAGCGGCAGACCGGCCGGGCGCCACACAGCGGCACAGGCAGGCGCCGGGCGCGGCACCGATACTCAGAGACCAGGAGCGGCAGACCGGCCGGGCGCCACACAGCGGCACAGGCAGGCGCCGAAACTCAGAGGCCAGGAGCGGCATACTGGCCGGGCGCCACACAGCGGCACAGGCAGGCGCCGGGCGCGGCATCAGCGCGCGACATCAGAGCGTTATCATTTGTTGGGGCATATTTTGAGTCCAACGTGTTAGGATGTGTATTTCACTAATCCAGACCACGGCCAACTGTAATCTTTTGATAGTTTCCGTCCAGATGCGTATGTCAAGAACGTGATATAGATGGAAGGGAGCAGAGGACTCCGTCACAAGACCCATAGACAGCAAAGTGCCCGAAGCTACGGGATCCAGTAAATACCCACAATAATATGCGTATAAAATGCATGATATACGCTAAATGCACACAGCCTTCCATACCCTACCGAACACCTAAAAACTAGCATGCTTTAAACATATAAAACATCACATCGGCAGCTTAAAACAGGAGTCAGAATGTGCAGCTACTGCCAACTCCTTCGCATCCAACATGACTTCAACAGCTCAAACAATCTAGGACTGCCGACAGCTTTTCCAAATCCGAGATGTCTTAATAACTTAACATCTGATGAACACTGATACTGGCGGCCGCGGCCCACTGCCGCTGCTGGCAGCTGCCTCGGGCCGTGCCGCGTCTCGCGGCCGCTCACCTGGCCGACGGCAGCGTCGAGAGGCCGTTCTGGTCCATGTGGTTGAGGTTCTCCTTGAGCCGAGTGGACTTGCAGCTACGGCCGCGGAACTGCTGCTCGGCGTCGGCCGCCAGCTGGCGCAGCTGATGAGCGGCCAGCTGCTGCAGCCGGCCGTGCTGCACCAGCAGCTGTGCCCGCTCGTACGGCCGGCTACGACGCACGCCGTCCAGACACGACGGCAGCGGCCTGGCGGCGGCCAGACGGCCGGACGGTCAGACAGCCCGACAGCCAGACAGTCAGACGGCGGACACGGGGCCGCGCCGCGTCGCCGGAGTCTGGCCGGGCTCCAGGGGTGTCAGCGACACGGCTCGCGGCGCTTCATCAGGCCGTAGGACGCAGACGGGTTCGACACGGGCGCGGCGCCGACGGCTGTGTCGCGGCCACGCGTGACAGCTGTGCCGACGCACTGTCGTGGGAGAACGCGAGGCACGGCAAGTCAGACTCCACTGTAACGGCGACTTGGTAACGACGGTGAGGCGACAGCACGACGGGACTCGAGACAGAGCGGATGAGGCGGGTGCCGGCGCGCCGACTCACGTGTGGCTGGCCTTGAGCGTGGGTCCCAGGCCGAGCCAGCCCATCAGCAGGTGGACGCGCGCTGACGCCACCAGGTGCGTCTTGGCCAGCAGGCCGTGCACCATGTCCAGACCGCGCAGGCGCAGGCCGGCCCGCTCCATCTGCCGGCGGGAGCACGAGCGTCGACCGAGAGCGGGCGTCTGGGGGCCGGGCCGGGTCGGGCCGGGTCCGATCCACCGCCGCCTCCCGAGGAGGGGACGGGGAGTCGCCATGGAAGGTCGATGGTTATGCTGTATACAAATACCGGCTGCTCGGGTCACACAAGCACGCACGCCACGTTTGGAGCAGCGCGTGGGAGGCTACCGCGTGACTGGTGGCACACCACCGGCGACAGCTGGCGGCGCCGCTCGGCTCCAGGCACACACTCCTACCTGGCATGTGAGAGCTTTCTGCACCACGCCGACGTCCACCGAGGTCTGGGTCACGAACGCGGCGATCTTGTTAGCAATCTCGAGCACATCGACAGGCGACGACTCTGGCAGCGCTGCGCCCGAGGCGATGTGCTCTGAAAGCAAACGTGCGGATTATGAAGCAGGTTCGAACGAAGCATCTGAGCAAGCCCATGCATTTAACACCAATGCATTCACAGACACGAATAAAAAAGAAAGAAGCGTTACAATACTGTAGATGCCAATCCTCACACCATCAATGTCAGTCGAACTTTTACATGAAAAGTGCACAAAATGAAAAGAAACAAAAAGTTTGCAGCCTTCAACAAAACCTCACGCCAAATTTCAGCCCGGCGTAGCTCCCACAAACGACTGACCCCAAGCCTGTGGTTCTCTTACCGCGCTTGGGCCCGCACGCTGCGGGCGTCCAAGTCTCTGTCGTCTCCATCATCTCCAGCTTGAGCGCCAGCTTGCCGGGCACGACGCGGACGGCAGCGGCTGCCCCAGGCTCCGAGTCGCACGACAGTGCGTCCTTCACCACCTGTTCGGGGGCCTCGTCTCTTCGGTTGTCGTGACTCCCCACCCCGCCGCCGGAGCGCTTCCCCGCCGGCCTCGGCCTTCTCAGAACGCTCCTCGTCCTCCTCAAGCTTCTCCGAACAGTCCTCGTCGTCCACCTTCTCGGACGGGTCGTCCTCTTCTAGCTTCTCCGAACGGTCTTCGTCCACCAGCTTCTCGGAGCGATCTTCGTCGAGCAGCTTCTCAGAGCGATCCTCGTCTACCAGCTTCTCTGACCGGTCCTCCGCCACCAGCTTCTCCGAGAGATCCTCATCGCCCACCTTCTCGGAGCGGTCTTCCTCGAACTTTTCGGAGCGCTCGTGGTCGGGGCTCGCCGGTCTTCTCCGGCAGCGCCTCGGCGGCGAGCTTCTCCGAGCGCTCCTCCTCCTCCGCGCCCGAGTCGTCCTCCGGCGAGCCAGCCACGCCGCCGGCCGGCAGCGTCTGGGAGGGCGGGGGCGGCGCGCAGCCGGCCGCCGCCGCCTCCAGCAGCTGCTTCTCGGCCTCGCCGTCCTCCTCCGACGGCTCCTTCTGACCGGCGGCGGCCGCGAGCGCGTCCTGAGACTAGTCATACACGGGGGGGGGGGGGGGGGCGGTCAGACGGCACGTGGCGTGACCGGCCGACGGCGGCTCGTCGCATCCACCCTGGCACCGCGTGTGACAGACGACTGACTGTACGTGCACTTCACGACTGATGCTGCACTGTGCATGACGTTGACGACCATATTAGTATCAGATAAGAATGGGATGTCCGAGGGCGCTTACACACGGAAGTAAGAATGCTCAAAACCGGCCCCGGAAAATGCAAAAACGCCCTTATCACCGGGGACAGAGAAGAGCAATGCTGTTCTTCTAGGGTCATGTGATGCAGACCGCTTCATCACACATTCCTCTTATAATCCCAACTGGTCATCCGTGATCCACTCCACCACTATGCCCGTGTGAAAGCCACCACCATATCTCATCGCCTGGTTCAGCGTTCGACACTTGCGCGTCCGTCGCACCTGGATGCTCTCGTTGAGTATGTCCTCTGGTCGGACGTTGAGGCCGCCGGAGCGCGCCAGCAGCACCTGGCGCGCCGCCGCCCGCCAGCGGCTGGGCACGTGCAGTAGGCGACGGCCAGAGGCGGCGCGCGCCGCCGCGCACGACAGCGGCCGCATCTTGTACAGCAGGAACCTGCAGGACCGCAGGGGGAGGGGGCGTGACAGCAGGGCTGGTGACGAGGAGCGGCGCTGGACGCCACTCTGCGGTCGGAGCTGCGGCGGCGGCCGCGGCGTCACTGCAGGCGGGCGCGGATGCGGTGACCTTCATATGGCCGCAGCGGCGGACACCCGGGGTGTTGGTTATTACGCTGGGTATACTGGCGGCGGGATGCCACCGACTGGGTACACACAAGCGTGCAGCAGGCCAGGAGAACGGCAAAATAGCAACCCAGTCCTAGAAGCCGGGCATGCCGAGTAGCCAGTGAATCCCAGACAGATCACGCGGATTGCCTGCGAGGCATTCTACCACCAGACGGATGCTAGTCAGAGCCCCGCCGGGCGCGTACAACGCCACCTGGTGTCCAGGTGGCGACCACCACATCATCAGTAACAGAGTAACACAGACCAATGTGGTCGCACAGCACCGCACGCGTCTCAGGATGAAAGGCTAGGCCAGGAGCGGCCAGCAGGTCGGATCTCCTACACGAGCCACGCCAGCGCAGGACGGCACCGCGGCGGGCGGCGGGGCGGGCGGCGGGTGGCGCCCAGCTTCACTGACCGGCACTTGTCCATGGGCTCGGCGCAGACCTCCTTGTAGCTGGAGTCGAGCTGCTGTCGCGTGCGGATCAGCGAGAGCTTGGTCCGCTGCACGATCCGCAGCAGCTCCGGCAGCGGCTCCGGCAGCTCTCGCGGCTCGGTCGCCTCGCCGTCCGGCCCCGCCGCCGCTGCCGGGCACGCAAGCGGGGTCAGAACACTGCCCGAACCGCAGTCAGACAGGCCCCGCGGTGACGCACAAACACAAGCGTCGGAACGCACGAGCGAACGCGTTGCCACGTCCGCTCTGTATTCACACGCAAATGTGGGGCCGAGCATAAAGAGCAAGCAGGCAAGTGATGATAACGACCCAAGCAAAACACGGGCTTCGGTTCGGTTTGTTTTGACTGATCCGATACGGGTCACTTCAGTCAATCATGACCCCTTCTGGGCCTTGGGATAAGGGATGGTGGACAGCGGTGGGGTAAGGCTACACGCGCCTGGGTTCCATCCACCGGTGCTTAGCCGCCTCGCAAACAACCCGCACGGCACGAGAGGCTGGCTGAAACACGAGCTTCGCCAACCATCGCCACGTGGTGAACTGCACGCTGTTCACCGCATTCCTACACGTGTTTGACAAGGGCACGTGTGGCGGCGACCCCGGCCGCCGCTACCCGACCCATGACGGCGCCGGCGCAGCTGACCTGGGCGCAGGAACGGCTGGAGGCGGCGGTGGGCACCCGTCTGACGCAGCACGGCTGCCAGCAGCCGGCGGCCCACCTGCTCCACCGGGTGGTCGGGCGACACCTGTAGCGGCATCCGCAGGTGGAACTTGTCGCAGTGCCCAGAGATGGCACTGCTCAGCCGCTGCACGCCCTCGTCCTGCCGATGGCCGCCGTCGGTCAGTGCGGCATCGCACAGCGGTGTCCGAGGTTGGGCTATCCGGTTCAGAACAATACGCGTCCAGGATAGTGTTTGCCTGGTCCAGTTGTTTGGTGAGCATTATTTGGTAGATGGCTGACGCTATCTGCACAAACCAATAGGATAGGTAAGCTTCAAAACAGCTGAAACATGAACGGGGAGACCAACTGGCGGGCTTTCACTAATGAGGTTATCATTTGTATCCCTCGCTCGGTAGTATCACCTGTCACTCCGCCTGTTGGTTTGATTACCTCATCAATGCCCTCCGCATACGCTAGAATCAGTTTGACAGTATCCTCCATGGCGGATGAGTCCATGTGAGCCTTGAAGGGGGAATTGGTGGTCTCACGGTCCTTGTCGGCGTCGTCCAGTCCCTGAGAGACGCCTCGCTGAAATCGCATGCGCCGCGCAGAATGGTGTTATCTGGCGTTACATCAGACATCACAGGCGGTGCTAGCGACACCACCCAGCCCCACTGGGCAGCCGAATGCTCGTGTGCGTTCTGATCCTTCCCAGCAAAATCCTTCGCCTCAGAAACACGCATCGGAAACATGGCAACGTAGCGCGCCCAATCGCACTGCCATGACGTCCACGTGCGTCTCATTTTGCCTGAGTGGAATATAAATTTACAGCGGATACCACCATAAACTTTCTGCTTCACTTGCTCGCATCAAATGCATACACCACCCGCCGTCGGCCAGACACCAGCACACGCGGCAGCGTCAGCGCCCGCTCACCGCCAGTCCGCCGTCGAACACGCCGCTGTCAAGCAGCGCCTGCGCCTGCAGCTCGGCCGGCTGCGGCGGCGCGCTGCGGTACAACGTGTGCGCCTGCAGACCCAGCAGCAGCGCCAGCGACCGCTCGGCGTCCACCAGCGGCGATGAGAGCGTGCTCGAGTCCACCGTCTGGCCGGGCAGGGCGGGGCGCGGGGTCACGGCACGTGGCGGCGAACACGGTAGGGATCGGAATTCGTCTGGCCGGGCGTCGGGTCACGGCACGGACGGCGAACACGGCGGGGATCAGAACCCGTCTAGCCGGGCGCAGGGTCACGGCACGTGGCGGCAAACACGGCGGGGATCGGAACCCGTCTGGCCGGGCGGGGAACGCGGTCCACAGCGTGGTCAGATCTGGCTCGGCGGTGTTTCAGCACACCTGCTGCTACTGCTCTGGACGCAGACGAGGGGACGGTGTCGTTCCCATGGCATTGCATCAACCCTGGCATCGTCGAAAGGCGACCTCTCGACCCCACATCTCCTCTATCAGCCGCGTGTGAGCGACCCGACGACACCCAGAAAACCCCTGACCTGGACGTAAACTGCGACATCTCGACCCCACATCCCCTCCATCAACCGTGTGTGAGCGACCCGACACCCCCAAAACACCTGACATGGACGGGCTCCGTGTCCGGGTCGAGAAAGTTGCCACGAACAGGCCCCGCAGCGTGTCCAGCGCCTGGGCCGAGTGCTGGCGCCGCCTCGAAAGCCCGCGTCACGTCCTTGCCGGCCGACCGCTGCAGCAGCTCGGCCCCGCACGGCGCCTCCGCCTGCCCGCCGCCGGCGGGCACGGTCAGGGCACGGGCAGACGGGGTCCAGGGCACGGGCAGACGGGTCGGGCACAGGCAGACGAGGTCAGGGCACGGGCAGACGGGTCAGGGCACAGGCAGACGGGTCAGGGCACAGGCAGACGGGGTCAGGGCACGGGCAGACGGGGTCAGTGCAAGGGAAGACGGGTCAGGGCACAGGCAGACGGGGTCAGGGCACGGGCAGACGGGGTCAGGGCACGGGCAGACGGGTCAGGGCACAGGCAGACGGGGTCAGGGCACGGGCAGACGGGTCAGGGCACAGGCAGACGTGGTCAGGGCACGGGCAGACGGGTCAGGGCACAGGCAGACGGGGTCAGTGCAAGGGAAGACGGATGAGGTCAGAGCAGCGTGGGGGCAGCTCACACGCAGAACAGTCTGACGTATTCCGAAGGGCTGGATCGCAATCGGGCGCGTCCATCAGATGTTCAAGCCTCAGGCCACATTTCATGGAGTCGGGTCGTACCGACTTGGCGCGAAACGGCGCGCCCGCCAACTGTTGTTTTGCTTCCAATCACAAAATAGGCACAGTAGATATCAATAAGGTCATAAGAATAACAACAGCGGATATCAAACACCTTCAAGTGTTCCTTGCCCAATTCTCCAAAACGTGAGAAGCATCTCACCGTCCCCGAAACTCCTCATAAATGTGGCCGTACTTAACAGTCAACGTAAAGCATTACGTGGCTCCACACCCACGAGAACAGCCGTCATCACCGTCCGCCCTCCGCAGTGGCATCAGTGAGGTGTAGGCTGCGCGGCGCCACGCTCGCCGGCGCCGGTGCCGGCGTCGCGCCAGCCGACCACTCACTTGAAGTCCTGCACGTCGTACACCTTGCCGGCGATGAGGAGCCAGAGGCCGCCGTCGCGGTTGTGGTTCTCTATGTCGGCGCGCCTGATCACGGGCACTTCGTCGCTGGAGCGCACCGAGTGGGTCGAGTGCGAGGCGCCTGAGGCAGCGGCGGACACAGCGGCTGCACGCGGCGGCGGGCGAGCGGTACGGCCGACCGGGAGCGAGAGGGGGGGGGGGGGGGGGAGACACGCAGGCTTGCAGCAATTTTGCGACTCAACAACTAATCTTACGACTCAACGAACTAATCTTACGACTCAACAAACTAATCTTATGACTCAACAAACTAATATTGGAACTACACCAGGCCAATAACATTGGAAAGCACCAACGCGTCAGCAATTTCAAAACACACAGGATAATTACGGTAAGGTACAGTACAACTGTACAGTAAAACTCAGCTGTTCTGAAGCATCTTATTTGAAAGCCGCCTTTCCATTGTAAACACGAAAGCCTCCCTTCCGGTGACCAGCGCCCCCGGTGAGCGGCGCCCCCGGTGAGCGGCGCCCCCGGTGAGCGGCGCCCCCGGTGAGCGGCGCCCCCGGTGAGAGGCGCCCCCGGTGAGAGGCGCTCCCGGTGAGCGGCGCCCCCGGTGAACGGCGCCCCCGGTGACCGAGCGGCACCCCCGGTGAGCGGCGCCCCCGGTGAGCGGCGCCCCGGTGACCGGCGCCCCCCGTGACCGAGCGGCACCCCCGGTGAGCGGCGCCCCGCGGAGCAGCGCCCCGCGAAGCGGCGCCCCGCGAAGTGGCGCCCCGCGGAGCGGCGCCCCGCGGAGCGGCGCCCCCGGTGACCGAGCGGCACCCCCGGTGACCGGCGCCCACGGTGAGAGGCGCCCCCGGTGAGCGGCGCCTCCGGTGACCGGCGCCCCCGGTGAGCGGCGCCCCCGGTGACCGAGCGGCAACCCCAGTGAACGGCGCCCCCGGTGAGCGGTGCCCCCGGTGAGCGGTGCCCCCGGGGAGCGGCGCCCCGCGGAGCGGCGCCCCGCGGAGCGGCGCCCCGCGAAGCGGCGCCCCGCGGAGCGGCGCCCCCGGTGACCGAGCGGCACCCCCGGTGACCGAGCGGCACCCCCGGTGACCGGCGCCCCCGGTGACCGGCGCCCACGGTGAGAGGCGCCCCCGGTGAGCGGCGCCCCCGCTTAGCAGCGCGCGCCGACTGACCGATGATGCCGGGCCAGGCGAGGTCCTCGGTGTCCTCGCGCTCGGCGCCGGGCGCCAGCCGATTGAAGCGGTCGAGCGTGTCGAGCAGCGGCAGCAGTGGCCCGGACAGGTGCGGGCAGCGCAGCACCGGGCTGCGCTGCTGCAGCATCAGCAGACACAGCACCAGCTCCGGCACCAGCACGCCTGGCCGGGGCGGGGAAGGGGGACACGCGGCGTCATGCGGGCTCCGCACACAAGACAACGGCAGCAGTGGCCCGGACAGGTGCGGGCAGCGCAGCACCGGGCTGCGCTGCTGCAGCATCAGCAGACACAGCACCAGCTCCGGAACCAGCACGCCTGGCCGGGGCGGGGAAGGGGGACACGCGGCGTCATGCGGGCTCCGCACGCAAGACAACGGCAGGGGGAAGTGTGGATAAGGAGTGAATGCCAGCAACCGCCACATTGGTCAAACCCCAGCACACACTGAAGGGGGACAAGAGGTACTGAAATGATGCCACTCGCTTTTACAGACAAGAAAACATTAAACACAAGATGTGTCTCATAAAATAGTCGATCAGATCTGACTATGAAAATTCACAGCAATGCTGAAATCAAGTTGACAAAATATCAGCTCAGGGCCCGGAATAACCTGATTTGCAAAACTACCTATCACCCTCCCTCACATTATCAATCGAAAAACTCGAGACCTCGAAATCAGTCCCACCTCCCGGCAGCCCAACAGACCACCTCTGCCGCACACAGAGCCAACCGGCCCGCCCGGCCGCGGCCTCACTCACCGACAATGTCGTCCCTGAGCGTGGCCGAAACCAGGGCGAACTGCTTGCAGCCGGCGGCGGCCACGCCGCACGCCACCGACAGCGTGTCGTTGACGTACACCATCAGCAGCTGGACGTACTTGCCGAGCAGCGAGCCGGCGCCGCGGTCGTGCCGCTCGCGCTTCTCGTCGCCGGCGGCCGGGCCGCTGACGTGGTGCAGCTCGGCCAGCAGCAGCCGCTGGAAGCGCGTCAGCAGGTCGAGCGAGGCCGAGCGCTGGAGGCCGCTGCCGCCGGTGGAGGGCGGCGGCGGCGGCGGCGGCAGCTCCGACGCAGACTGTGACAGAGCCGAGTCGGCCGTCGACACCGCCTGCAGCCGGTACAGCGTCTGCGACGAGATGTTCCTGCCGGCGCGGCGAGGACGGCGTCGGTCGCCGAGACAGGCGATCGGGCACTTGAAATGACGAACCATAATGGCTTTCCAGCGAGCATGCTCCAAAGAGGGGACAAGAATAAAAATCACGTGGTCCCGGGAAGCAGAGAAGACGATGACGGCGGTTCACGGCGATTTGGTGGCGCATTTAATGCACAACATGACGTGGACAAATATCGACAAATACAACCACCTACATCGCGTGCACCCAATCCTTTAAGCCCACAGTTTCTCGCTGAAGCTCTGCCAGCCGGCCCGCGCAGCCGTCGCTGAGCCGGACGTCCGTCGCAGCGGCCGATCGGCGCCGTACCTGAGCAGCTGTTTGACCAGATGCAGCAGCGGGATGGGCGGCTTCTGGCCGCTGGCACTCTGCGACCGCTTGGTCTCGGCCTCCAGCTGGGCCTGCTCGGTCATCATCTGCGACAGCAGCACCTCCTTCTCGCCGCCCTCCTCCAGGTCCTGCACCTCCACTGCCAACCCAGCGCGACGACGTCACAGCCGGCACTGCACAGGAAGCTCCAACAAGGGTAAACGGAAAGGGCCGTTTGCCGGACTCCAATGTGGCAGCAAAGGAGAGCTGTCTTGTAGATAACGGTGTTTAACGACACGGTGACTTGCGTGGCACGCCGCGAGTTCGCAATGATGGAACGTTCTCCAGTAAAGGGAGATACAGCTGTGAGTCCGTGAACGAGATATCGTAACGATCGGAGAACCTGTTAGCTGTGTGGATCTCGTCCAAACCAGACCGCATTTCTTGGTATCTCTTGGAGACCTCCCGACACCGCAGCCACGCCATAAGCTGAGGCAGCTTCCCATGGGGCCGATCGCCCGCTCCCCTCCCAGTAGCGTCGGCGCACCTTTGACGGCGGCGCGCAGGGCCGTCTCCAGCCCGCCGTCGGCCATCAGCGACGAGACGAGCAGGTCGGTCATGAAGAGCCGGCCAGCGCTGGGCGATCCCACCTCACAGCCTGCGGCGGCGGCGGCGGCGCCGTCAGGACGGCGGGGCCAGCCCCGACAACACGCGGCTCTCACGCGCGGCTCCGGGGACGTGACTCAAGAGTGCAGCTGCTGGGCTGCGGTCAGGCAGAGTGAGGACACGAGGCACGTGTGTGGGCCTGTGTCACCGCTTCTGCCGAGAACCGGCGCCGCTGCTGAGCGACTGTGTGGCTGTTCAGCGTCCTTGAGAGGCGGCTGTGGAGCATGTCCATCCGACATCGACTGTTGATCACAGACGGCACATCTCCGGGCTGGAGGGACACATGATTGACCCGCACGCCTTATCCCAGCACGCGAACAGTCCGACAACAGACGTATACCGCCCAGATAGGGCTCCCGACGTTCACAGCCGTTCTCACCGCCGCCGCCTCCGCCTCGGCGGACTGTGGACGGCGGCGGCGGCACACGCAGGGGCGCCACTGACCGGCGTGTGGCAGCAGGGTAGAGAGCGTCTTGGCGCGCTCCTCGGCGGTGGGCAGCAGCGCGCTCCACCCGACCTTGAGCGTGGCCTGGGCGGCTGCCTGCACCGAGCCGAGCACGCCGCCGCCGCTAGCCAGCTCCACCACGCGGCTCTTGAGCGCAGTCAGCAGCCGGCTGCCGGCCGCCAGCCCCAGTGACGACAGGTCCAGGCCGTGCGTGATGGCCGCGTGCAGCTGGTGGGCGCGGTCGGTCGTCAGCGGGTCCGCGCGGGGAAGGGGTGGGGTGCCGGCGCAAGGGTGGTGGGACGGTCCGGCCGGACTGCGGGGCCTGGCAGTGCGGCCACACGACGGACGGGGTGCTGACAGATGACCGCGACAGTTCTGCACGGTGCGGAGCTTATCGTGTAGCAGACAATAACCGCAACACCCCGTATTCGGAGACAGGGAGAGAAAACTTGTGCTGCTCTGTTCGTACATGGCGTACAAATTGCTAAGGACACAAAAACTAAGGTCCCATGTTCCAGAGCTCCCTCAAGTCACCCGAGGTCGCTCCAGCCCGATTCCCCAAGTCTACCGCAGCGCACCAGTCACAAAGCCCACAGGAGATCACGCCCTCACGCCGCGTCGCACCACCGCTGGCCCCGTTCGCCGGAGACGTCGCGCCCACCTGCAGCGTGAGCAGCCGGAGCGCAGCCACCATCATGCACTCGTCCTCCTGGGTGGGCGGCCGGGCGGCGGCGGCGGCCGGTGGCGCAGCCCTCTCCATCAGCCGCTCCAGATAGACGAACGTCGCCTCGCTGGCGTCCACCACGAACGGCACGCGGCGGCTCACCTTGCTCTCCGCGCCCGGCGACCAGGCGAACAGCTGCCGGGCGCGCCAGCCGTCAGCAGCAGGGCGGCGACGACGCGGCGGTCGCTCGCCCTCCTAAAGTGTCACTGGCTGCACAATCTCAGCATTTCTACCCAGCGGCGGTTCATGTGGTTACCTCGTCTCGTTTACGAGCATAACAGGACTACGTGTGCGTAGCGTGCTGTCCAGCGGTTGGACATCACTGCCGCCCAGGGCACGTTCTCCCTATGCGTTGCGCGAGCTCCGTGAGCCCGTCATCAGGCTAGCCACCCAGCTCGCCGCTGACCTGTACGGGACCGCGGCAGACGACTGTGACCCGGTGCCCGACAGTGACCTCAGTCCGTCACCAACCTGTAGCGGGCCGCAGCAGACGCCCAGAACGGTGCGGCCGGCCAGCTCTGCCAGTGGCGCTGGGCCGGGCAGGACCGACGGCCGGCCGGCCACGCCGCGGCCCCAGCAGTACACCAGGCCCTCCTCCGTCACCGCCACACACGTCGTCACGCCCACCGACAGCTGGCGCACCTTCTTCCCTGTGAGTGGCGGAGGAGCGCGGGTGATGACACATCACACATACACAGCACGACGTCACGCCCACCGACAGCTGGCGCACCTTCTTCCCTGTGAGTGGCGGAGGAGCGCGGGTGATGACACATCACACATACACAGCACGACGTCACGCCCACCGACAGCTGGCGCACCTTCTTCCCTGGGAGTGGCGGAGGAGTGCGGGTGGTGACACATCACACATACACAGCACGACGTTACGCCCACCGACAGCTGGCGCACCTTCTTCCCTGGGAGTGGCGGAGGAGCGTGGGTGGTGACACATCACACATACACAGCACGACGTCACGCCCACCGACAGCTGGCGCACCTTCTTCCCTGGGAGTGGCGGAGGAGCGCGGGTGGTGACACACCACACATACACAGCACGATGCCACGCCCACCGACAGCTGGCGCACCTTCTTCCCTGGGAGTGGCGGAGGAGCGCAGGTGGTGACACATCACACATACACAGCACGTCGTCACGCCCACCGACAGCTGGCGCACCTTCTTCCCTGGGAGTGGCGGAGGAGCGCGGGTGGTGACACATCACACATACACAGCACGACGCCACGCCCACCGACAGCTGGCGCACCTTCTTCCCTGGGAGTGGCGGAGGAGCGCGGGTGGTGACACATCACACATACACAGCACGACGTCACGCCCACCGACAGCTGGCGCACCTTCTTCCCTGGGAGTGGCGGAGGAGCGCGGGTGGTGACACATCACACATACACAGCACGACGTCACGCCCACCGACAGCTGGCGCACCTTCTTCCCTGGGAGTGGCGGAGGAGCGCGGGTGGTGACACATCACACATACACAGCACGACGTCACGCCCACCGACAGCTGGCGCACCTTCTTCCCTGTGAGTGGCGGAGGAGCGCGGGTGATGACACATCACACATACACAGCACGACGTCACGCCCACCGACAGCTGGCGCACCTTCTTCCCTGGGAGTGGCGGAGGAGCGCGGGTGGTGACACATCACATATACACAGCACGACGTCACGCCCACCGACAGCTGGCGCGCCTTCTTCCCTGGGAGTGGCGGAGGAGCGCGGGTGGTGACACATCACACATACACAGCACGACGTCACGCCCACCGACAGCTGGCGCACCTTCTTCCCTGAGAGTGGCGGAGGAGCGCGGGTGGTGACACACCACACATACACAGCACGACGCCACGCCCACCGACAGCTGGCGCACCTTCTTCCCTGAGAGTGGCGGAGGAGCGTGGGTGGTGACACACCACACATACACAGCACGTGGTCACATCCTTTAGAAGCCGACGCAATTTCCCTGCTCGGTAAGGGGAAAGCGACCCCGTTTAGCATGTGATCTCACCACAGACACATTTGTCCTATTTGTCGTCAAGGAATCTTGAACTTGTGTACACATGAAGTTCAGCGCATGCATGCACCAATATAACGGAGGCTCTCACTCGTGCTCACTTGAAGTTCCACACGATAGCCCAACCTAGCAGTGTCCACAAGTCACAATAACAAATGGGCTTCCAAACTCCCAGCTCCTGGGCCTGCCCGCGCGCACATCCCCCACCTGTCTCCAACGGCACCCGCAGCGAGCCATAATACTCGCCGCCAAGCCCTCCACAGGCGCACCTCTGGCCTGCCTGGCCCGGTGCACACTCCAGAGGCGCCTCAGCTCTGCGTTGCAGCACGAACCGGCACCACTCCGCACGGCGCCGCGGCCACCGACCTGCGAGCGCCTCAACCTTGAGCGGGAACCTGGCGTGCTCCTCGGTGCCGTGGCCCAGTCGGAACGTGTCGCCCTTGCCCCCGGTGTAGACGACGCCGGCGTCGGTGAGCGCCGCCGAGAACTGGGCGCCGCTGACGGCGCGCACTACGCGTGCCCCCTGCAGCCGCTCCACCAGCTGCGGCACGCGCGAGCCTTCGCTGCCGCCGCGGCCTGCCGGCGACGGCCGCGCCACGGCACACGGTCAGTCGTGAGCAACGGGGGTAGGGCAGAATTGCGGGCACCGGTTCCGTTATGAGGGACAGGGCGGGGGTACCGGGTCAGGGTCGCTATGGGTAACGCCAGATCAGAGGAAGCCAGGCCCACTGGTATCACTTGAGGTATTCGCGTCACTGGGAACGTTTGAGGTACCGGGTCCCTAGCGAGCAGAGGCCACGGCTTACACAGCTGACCGGGTGGCACCATGGCACGGACCCACAGCCAGGCTCACTTAACACTCGGTGGGGTTCATATGAGAACATGTCAGCCACTAGCCGTGTGGCCAGATTCTAGCCTTGACTACTGAACGGGCTGGTCTCGCATCAGGCACCTACGGTGACTGGCCAGCCGTCATCCAGCAGCGGCACCACTGTGTTTGACATGCCAGTCACGGTTGCCACAGCACGGCTCCGACCACGTTCGGCAGCGCGTGCGCCGACTCTCACCCAGCTTGCCGTAGTCGCCGTCGCCCCAGGTGTAGACGAGGCCAGCGTCCGTGACGGCCACCGTGTGCGCGTCGCCCGAGCCACAGCAGACGTCCACCACGCGGTGACCTGAGGCCAAGCCGGACACGCCGTCAAACAGCTGCACACTGTCGCCGACGGACGACGTAGGAAGGGAAAGCACTGGCAAAACGCAGTGACGCCTTAAATACCAACCGACAGGGTTATGTAAACCACATGCCGGAATTTACGGAGCTACGTGCATTATGCTACCTAATCGCGTCGACGCTTGAATTTCTTTTCAATAAATTTGATCCGAACCCTTCGAATGGATGGATTTCTGGGATTAGCGCTCACGCTAAGCAGCGCGCTTGTTGTGTGAGCCCTGACCCCCACGACCCGATCGCGCAATTCCAGGCAACGGCAGAATTTAGTGGCGAAAGCTTAACGTGCCGCAATGCTCGGCACGGTCCATCCTGCCCCCTGACGTGAACTGACCTTTAGCGCGACCGCTGCCACCGGTCGCAGGCCACACCTGCCAAGGGCAAATAGCAAGCGCCCTAAAGCGACTCGAACCCACCCTGCCATGGGTGGACGGATTGAAATGCAGGCGCTCTAACCAACCGAGCCACCGGGACGGACAAATATACACGCAGATAATAAAACACGCACGCAGACAAGTATACACACAGATGTACACAAATACACAATAGCACACGCAGATCATCGATCAAAGCTCACTATGACGTCCATGCCAAAAATAACCGAGACCAATCTCTTTGGCACTGCTAGGCTAGCTGAGATCGCCGTTACTAGTGTCCACAGCGAGCGATCTCACCTGCCGCGTCGATATACAAACAGACCTCCGCGCAACCAGACAGCCCCCTCCCCATCTCCACCAGCTTCGGGCAACAATGACCGGTGAGGGCCAGCACCAGAGTGGGCGGGTGACAGTCTTGTCCCCCACCCCTTCTGCCCATGGCTGACCAGTGAGGGCCTGCACCAGAGTGGGCAGGTGACAGTCTTGTCCCCCACCCCTTCTGCCCATGACTGACCAGTGAGGGCCTGCACCAGAGTGGGCAGGTGACAGTCTCGCTCCCCACCCCTCTGCCCATGGCTGACCGGTGAGAGCCTGCACCAGAGTGGGCAGGTGGCAGTCCTCAAAGTTGCCATGACCCAGTCGGCCGTAGTTGCCGCGGCCCCAGGTGTACAGCTCGCCGCAGCTGGTCAGAGCAGCGCTGCGGCAGGGAGGTCAGGTCGGGTCAGGTCGGGTCAGGTCAGGACCAGTCAGATCACGTCACACGTGTCTCACAACTGACGAGCGCAATCTTAGGGCTGGGAAGATTCCGTTCAACCGGGTGGAGTTAAAGAGATAATGAAATGAAAACCACAAGAAACAGTTTTCTCAACAGGCAAGCAAAACATCTGCCACAGCTACGGCCCACCTGTAAGTGCTGCCGCAGCTGCAGCAGGTCACGTGTTTGCCGGTGAGCGCCACCACCAGGGCGGGCGCCTCCAGGGACTGGCAGTCGCCGTGGCCCAGCCGGCCGCCGTCGCCGTTACCCCAGGACAGCAGCTGCAGCGACCAGCCAGCGTCACACAGACGACCCCGTCACACCAGAACAATCCGCAGGCGGCGGTCTCCGTGATCTCAACACTGGACACTTGGGTTTGCTCTTCTATACGGCCACATCTTACGAGGCTTGCTGTGTGCAGCAATTTGCAGTGCGTTACTGTGCTTATCGCCGTACACATTTGTAGCACACTACCGCTGCGATAGCGCAAAGTACATCACTACCGCAGACATCCCGACCGGTGCAGAGGAGCCCAGAGGGTCCGAGGAGTCCGGGGAGTCAGGGGAGATCGAGGAGTCTTGAGAGCCCGGGGAGCCCGGGGAGCCTGGAGAGCCTGGAGAGCCTGGGGAGCCTGGGGAGCCTGCGGAGCCTGGGGAGCCGGGGGAGCCTGGGGAGCCTGGGGAGCCTGGGGAGCCTGGGGAGCCTGGGGAGCCTGGGGAGCCTGGGGAGCCTGGGGAGCCTTGGGAGCCTGGGGAGCCCGGGAAGCCCGAGGAGCCCGGGGAGTCAGGGGAGATCGAGGAGTCTTGAGAGCCCGGGGAGCCTGGGGAGCCCGTTAATAGGGAGCCTGGGGAGCCCGGGAAGCCCGAGGAGCCAGGGGAGTCCGAGGGCCCAGGGGAGCCCGGGGAGCCCGGGAAGCCCGAGGAGCCAGGGGAGCCCGGGGGGCCCGAGGAGTCAGGGGAGTCCGGGGAGCCCGAGGAGCCAGGGGAGCCCGAGGAGCCAGGGGAGCCCGGGGAGGCCGGGAAGCCCTGTACTCGGGTCTCCTGCGGGTGCCGACCGGGCGGTCTGTTCTAACCTCGCCGTGCGCGGTGACCGCCATGTAGTGCTGCCCCTCCGGGTGGGCCGACACGTGGACCACCTCCTTGTCAGCTAGGCCCTCCACCGGCGCCAGCGACTGGGGCGGAGCAGTGCGGCGCGGTCAGCGACACCCGGTGGCGGCCACTCAACGTGGCGCCGAGAGACGAGATGACTGGTGACTTGTGCAATGCGCGACCGACCGACATTGCGGGAACTGTCCGGACTTACACGTGTGACAAAGCCCAGCAGACGAGCGCAGCGAAACGAGACAGGTGTGCAATGTCGCAATGGCAAGCCTAACCAGACATGCGCAGCAAAACGACACTAGTGTGCTCAGTGACAGGTTACAATCGATTATCAGAAGCTTTGCGTAGAGCACCAAAACAGTAATATTATGGAGTTGAATAAGCCATGGAGTTCACAAGAGCATCGTCCCGTCATTATAAGCCTTGCGCCAGGCGTGCTGACTCCACGACCTGCACTGCTACGGCGGACCAGGGCCGGCCTGACCTGTTTGTCGGCGCCGTACACCACCAGGTAGACGGCGCCCGTGTGTGCCAGCAGCAGAGCCGCCTGCTCGCCGCAGGCCATCTGCTTGACTCGGAGGTCGGCCAGTCCCTCCACGCGGCTGAGGCTGGCGGCGGCCGGCGTCGGCAGCGGCGAGCAGGGCGTCTGGGAGCCGCCGCCGCCGCCGCTGCCCAGGCACAGCAGCTCCTGACGGCCCGTGTCCTGCCCCAGAGGCGGCCACGGTCAAGGGAGGGTCGCGGCAGAATGGCGACCAAATGGCTGGACTACTTGGAACTATACACCGAAGCGGTTGCTACCTCAACCATGCTCAGCACAACACGTCCCGCGAGTTTCCTGCAGTCCTCTCTTTCCCATGAACATCTCCCGGTGCCCGCTGACTGACAGCTCTGGTCTGGCCGGGTCCGACAGCCCGGCCGCTGTCCACGGGCCGGTCCACCTCTGGTTTCCGACACCCCTGGCGCGTCCGCAGACTGACAGCTCTGGTCTGGCTTGACCCGACAGCCCGGCCGCTGTCCACGGGCTGGTCCACCTCTGGTTTCCGACACCCTGGCGGGTCCGCAGACTGACAGCTCTGGTCTGGCTTGACCCGACAGCCCGGCCGCTGTCCACGGGCTGGTCCACCTCTGGTTTCCGACACCCTGGCGCGTCCGCAGACCGACAGCTCTGGTCTGGCCGGGTCCGACAGCCCGGCCGCTGTCCACGGGTCGGTCCGTCTCTCGTTACCGCCACGCTGGCGCGTACGCTGACCGACAGCCTCCCACGTAGACCGGGTCATCCCGTGATGGCGCCGGCGGTGGCGCGAACCCACCTTGGCGGCGGTGTTGTCGGGCTGCAGCGGCGCCGCCATCCGGTCCAGCAGGCACAGCAGCACCACGGCCACCTGGCGCAGGTCCACGTGCAGCTCTGGGTCGGACGGCAGCTCCAGCAGGCGCAGGAACACCTCGGTCGGAGACAGCTGGACGGCGACACGCAGCAGATGTCAGGCGTCTGCCCGCGTAGGGCGGGCCGCTTTGGGGTGCGGATATCGCGTGTTCGCTTCATCACACGCACTGGGCCACTAGCGGCCCGCGAAGGTAGCAGCTAAGGCTTGTGCGTACCTTTTATGGCAATGGGCTACTCTTGGTGCATCAGCTTTATCGTCCAGCAAGCAAATACCGACGGACTTGCATTAATCGTTACCGTCGCTCGAGCTAATATCAGTCCGCTGTCGTGATCGCAAAACGATCCCGATCGCTGCACCACATTGTCATTACAATGCAAGGGTCGCTGCCTGTTATAATGGCCCCAGCCTCGCAGCAGGTTCTCCATTGGGTTGCGATAAACAGTTGAGACTGATCCTGACTGCGCTGGCCGGGTCTTCCCCGCTTCTTCGCCCTCGCCGGCCAGACGTGGGGCGTCATGTTTATACCGGCGGGCAGACACATAGGTCACGTCACCGGCCTCGCACTCGGCCACCCCCGAGCGTCACTCACGGCGGCCGGCGTCAGCTCGTGAGGGGCGGCGGCGGCGGCGGCTGAACCCTGGCCGGCCGCGGCGGCCGCCGCTGCCTGCAGTCGGTGCAGCACGGGCAGCAGGGGCGCGCTGCTACCGTGCCGACGCGTCCTGCGGCACGCAAACAAACACCTCCCTGTCAGCCGCCCGGCGGCACCGCCGCTGACGCTGGCTGTCGCTGGGTGGCCCGCTCGGGTTCCGGCCGATGGCAGGCGCCAGCTAGGGAGGTGGCCGCGGCCATAACCTGACTTGGTGCGTGCACGGGATATAGGAAAATGAATGTTCGTCGTCTAACCTCATCCCTTGTAGCTAACGCTACGCACGGATAGAGAATACACAACCAAGTCATATACCATTCAAGATAACTGAACGAATTATAAGGAAAAGCTGGCCAATAACGCAGGAGCATGGTTCAAGCACCAACAGCACAAATTAAAAATTGGTGAATAAGCTGTTCTGTCCATGCCCGGCACCGCATAAGAGGTACAGGTGGCGGCGTGCGGAGTACCTGAACCACCACCACCGAGCGCAGCGACGCGTCTCATGGGGCCAATATAAGCTGTGCGGTGACAATGCGTTAACTAAGTCTGATTTCTGCTGTGTCCGCCGCTGTGTACCTGCTGTCGGCGGCCGTGTGTCTGCCGCTGTGTACCTGTTGTCGGGGCCATGTGTCAGCCGCTGTGTACCTGTTGTCGGGGCCGTGTGTCCGCCGCCGTGTACCAGTTGTCGGCGGCCATGTGTCAGCCGCTGTGCACCTGTTGTCGGCGGCCGTGTGTCCGTCGCCGTGTATCTGTTGTCGGCGGCCGTGTGTCCGCCGCTGTGTACCTGTTGTCGGCGGCCGTGTGTCCGGCGTCGTGCCAGATCTGCAGGATGAGCAGCACCACGCTGAGTATCTGGCTGAGCGCAGCTCGTTGGGCGGCCAGCTCCAGCAACAGCGACAGCGCCAGGTGCCGGTCCGCCGTGGGCACGCCGCCCACCTCACTGACGGCACGCGTAGGCACGGGCTGTTACCAGCCAACCGCGCACAGACAGCTCAGCACGGGTCTCCCGGGGACAGAGACGGCGGTTTGCCTGCACACATAGGCACATTATACTGGGCAGATGAAGTGGGCCCTGTACAGTTCTCACCAGGCTCAATCAGATTTATCTACTAGTGGAAAATCTCTAAATTTAGCGGTGTTTTTTTTTTGTTATGCTGCTAGCCGTGGTGATGAGCTAAAATAAGTATGATGCAATTCTGGAGCACTTTCATTCATTTTCACGAAAACTGCATTACCATATGCAGCGAGTGACGTTTTCCAGATGATAAGCGATCATTCCCCGCGTGTACACACTCATCATTCATCAGTATCTTCCATACATGCATTCATCCCCGGAACTTGCAAGAAACACTTAACGAAACAATAGTTGAACGCTCTGACTACCGTTTCACAACACACGTGGCGTGACTTCGACAGACTGCACGAACTGCCCCATCATCCCGCCGCCATTCCGAGGCTCGGCAGTCAGCACCCACCCGAGCACGACGGAGCGCAGGAAGCGATTGGCCTTGTCGACCACCTCCAGCCAGACGGGCGACACCGACTCCTCGTCGAACAGATTGCCCTCAGGCAGGTACCGCAACGCGTCCAGAGACTCCTGAAGGACGTGAAAAAACACACGTGGCGACACATCTGAGACGCTCAGTAATCAGACCGCCACCACACACAGAGACGCATCAAAGACATCGCGTTGATGGATGATGTTTAAGCGATGACCAGAACATTTCCACAAAACAAATCGGAAGGGGGGGATTGAAAACTGAACCTTAAGTTTAAGAAAATTAATAAAGCAACGCAGCTTTTACCTTAAGTAGATCGGAGCAAATGTCGGCATCCTCTCCTGACCTCCAGGCCCGCCGGAGGAAGGCGATGGCGAAACCCATGGCGGCGCGGGAGCCGACCCGGGCCAGACTGTGGGCTGGCGGCTCCCGGGCTCCCAAACAGCGGCCCGAGACCACCTGCAGACACAGACACGGTCAGAGGCAGACCATGGGCTCTCGGGCTCCCAGACAACGGCCCGAGACCACCTGCAGACACAGACACGGTCAGAGGCGGACCGTGTCTCCCAGACATTCAGCCATCGTTCTGCCACCGACCGCCGGCGCAGTCACGACCACAGGTACCAAGCCTGACGGTGGCTTCTCCATAATCGACACAGGCGACGAACAGCGTCGGCCCCGATTTTCTTCTGGAAAAGAAGCACGCCCAAAACATGAAGCGTCGTGGTTTCGCCTGCACCCGCCCAACCAGTGCCCTCCCTGAGACGTGACGTCTCGTCCGCACGAAACCGAAAGGGAGAAAGGGTGCGCGCCGGTTTCGTCAAGACGACAGCTCGGCAAACTGTGTGTATGTGGAGCGCGGCCGCAGCACGCGCCCGGCGCCGGGCCGTGACCACCACCAGCCGGCCGGAACACCGACGCGGCCCACCGGCCGGCCCGTGTCGCCAGTCTGCTGCTGCTACAGACTGCGTGACCAACAGAACTGCGACAATAGATATGCGCCGATTCTTGGTTCTACTGCAACGACTTCGACGGACTTACTGATAAGCGACTCGTGTACAACTCTTTGCTATCGCAAAGAGTTGTACACGACATTAATACTGCCTAACAACACTAATACTCCAAAAAGATAACACTTATTACTAGTGTTACAGCAAAATTACACCGTTCTCAGCTATACGCAACATTCTTGCCGTAGCGATTACCTGCACGCACAAATAGTGCCTGAGTAACTCAACAAAATTCATACTTCGAAAATTCTACACCCATTGTTTTTTTTTTTCACAAGAGGTTCTCCGATGTTCATTTGTAAGCAGCTTTATGAGAGGTGTAGCCAAAAGGACAGAAAAGGGGGTACATGCCTCCTTCTTAGCCGATTAGCCGAGAGGTTTATGCTAGATACTTGACGATTTCGCAAGTATTTGGTCCAAGCTCGCAGGAAATAGGAGACAATTTGACATCTCTCTGAGGAAAAATTGAGGGAAGTGTCTGGGAATTACTTATCACTTACACTAATACGTATAATTCATTTTACACGGAAAAATACATTCCTCAAAAACTTTTACCCGTTCTTACTTAAGCGCCAAACACTTCTACGATCTTCACTTCTACGCGACAATAGTTGTACCGCCTGCACTTACACGCGCTTTTAGTGATACCCGAAGAGCCTTACCCTTCAAAACGCATGGCCGTCAATGCTTCTACTCATAGCAAGACCGCCACAAAAGAATCAGAGACAGACCACACATGCACAGCACATACACGTGGGCGCGCGAAGTCAGAGTGCCGTTGGTCATTGCATAGTGTCGTGACTTTAGTCCTGTTGCAATCAATGCAGCCGATAAACTTGCGCATGGAATACTTCTGCGCGGCATTGTATCTACTGCAATGACTCTACGGCCAGCTTATGGCATGCTTGCAGCCTTGACTTGTATGTGATGCACGACAACTCAACAAAATAAGGTAGAGTGATCAATTAATCACTGTTGTTCGCGCCACTCCCGGCTTTTAACTGCGGGCCAGTCCGGTCGCATGCTGCCCCTACCCGCAAAATTGTTCATACGCCCCTGCTAGGTATCCAAATATCTTGCTCTACATGGCTGTTCTGGGGCGGCCTGCGACTTCGCCCGATTTCATGTCACCGGCTATGCTCACCTCGCGGCGCGGTAATTGGCGCAGTGGACGAATGGCATAATGGGCGGAATGTAACGACCAGATGTGCTGCAACGCCTCTTCACACTACGAGAGTTCCGCCCGCTGTTTTCTTCGGCGGCACAAGTCTATAATATCACCTGACACCTCCATAAAACGTCTTCGCGAGCCACAACCTTCTGCGGTCAGGAAAACGTTCTTTAAACATGCGCAGCTGACCGTTGTATGCATTGACAGTAGGAGAGCTGTCAGGTATAGGTAGGTCGTATACGTTTTTGCAGTTGAAGCGGTGACTTGTACAAGTGCTTAAAGCATGACTTTTGTCGTGTAGCACAAACGTCCCGTACGGCTCTGCAGTAGAGATAGCGTCGCCCTTGACTAAAGACGACGTGTTTTGCAATAAAGGCAATGACGGGATTAAGTTTTGTGGCGTCAAACCAACACTGAATGTACGAACAGGCAGCAGAAGCCGTGTCGCAGCACTCTTCTCGGCGGGAGCCTGTGCTGTTGCGCCAATGTGTCGTGTCGCCGGGGCGGGCCGCTCACGTCCGCCGGCGGAGCTCCCGGGACGCCCGGGACGCCCGTCACGGCCCCCGGCACCACCCGTGACACGGGCCGGTCGCCATAAAGGCGGGCCGGCGAGAGGCGGGGGCAGTCACGAGGCGGCAGCTGAGGAGCGGGGTGGTGGCGCGGCGGATCGAGATGAAGGTGAGAGCCGGCGCCCGTCTACAGACGGCTCCAGATGAGCAGGACCCGACAGGCGCGGCCGGGCCTCCGCTGCTGTCAGATCTTGTGTTTGGAGCAAACAAACGGCATGCTGGGACGAAACATTTGACCTAACCTACACCCAGCGCACCATCTTTCATAAGAATGTACACAACTTTTCTGTCGCGCAAACCCTTGTGCACGCAAACTCCCAGAGTAACATGCGGTCCTAATGTATTCATGTCACTCAAAGCCCTTGGCGCCTGACACAACACACTTTTTAACGGCAACTTTTCCGGCAGATCCTCGTCATAACCATTATCTGCGCGGTCACAACCACCGACGGTAGCAGGCAAGACAGTGGACAAAATGCTGGCTACAGCATCGGTAGCATACAGAATGGCGATCGACGTGTTGGTTATAGCGGAAGGCGGGGCAGAAGACCAGATGACGGTTACAGCAGTGGACAAGACAGTGGACAAGGTGTGGAATATGCCGGTGGCCCAGGAGAACTAGCTGAAGGGATAAGTGATGGTGACGCAAGTGGACGAGGTAAAGCGGAAAAAGTCCGTCATAGCAGAGGTCAAGGCGCAGCAGGTCGAGGAGAAGCATATCAAGGCGAAGTAGACCGACGGCAAAGCAATGCTTACGACATTGCTCAAGGCGCTGGTTACAGCGGCCTCAGAGACGGTGCAGACTTAAGGGAAAGAGAAAGGGGAGAACAAAGACGCGATTATAGCGGCTGGCAGGAAGAACCAAGTCGTGCTTATGAAGCGGGGCAGGGCGGAAAACAGAGTGGGGATTACGGGGTACGACTGGACGCAACACACGGAGGAAGACAAGGCAAAGCTTATGACGGGGCGAAGGATGGAGGACAGGGTACAGAGCAGAGTTGGGGACACATTGGAAGCCATGGCGGAGGACAAGGTGCAGAACAGAGTTGGGGACAAAGTGAACGGTATGATGGAGGGCAAGATATAGAACAGAGTTGGGGTCGAAGTGGAGGAAACAGTGGAGGACAAGGTGCAAAACAGAGTTGGGGCCGAAGTGGCAGCTATAGCGGACGACAGGCCAGAGGACGAGGTGCAGGTCATGGTGGAGGACAGGGTGGAGTGCAAGGTGGTTATGGCGGAGAACAGGGCGTGGAAATCGGTGGAAGTTACGGCGGAGGCCGCGGCGGAGAACAGGGGGGAGGTTACGACGCAGAAAAAAGTGGAGGCTATGGCGGAGGACAAGGTGAAGGACAAGGCGGAGGACAAGGTGGAGGACAAGGTAGAGGTTATGGCGGAGGGAAAGGTGGAGGACGGGGTGGAGGTTATGACGGAGGACAAGGTGGAGGGCAAGGCGGAGGTTATGGCGGAGGGAAAGGTGGAGGACAAGTAGGTTATGGCGGAGGACAGGGAGGAAGACAGGGTGGAGGACAGGGTGGAGGTTACGGCGGAGGGAAAGGCGGAGGCCAAGGCGGGGGGCAGGGTGGAAGTTACGGCGGAGGGAAAGGTGGAGGACAGGGAGGAGGACACGGTGGAGGACAGGGTGGAGGTTACGACGGAGGGAAAGGTGGAGGACACGGTGGAGGACAGGGTGGAGGTTACGGCGGAGGGAAAGGTGGAGGACAGGGCGGAGATTATGGCGGAGGACAAGGTGGAGGACAAGATGGAGGTTATGGCGGGGGACAAGGTGGAGGACAAGTAGGTTATGGCGGAGGACAGGGAGGAGGGCAGGGTGGGGGACAGGGTGGAGGTTACGGCGGAGGGAAATGGCGAAGGACAGGGCGGAGGTTATGGCGGAGGACAAGGTGGAGGACAACGTGGAGGTTACGGCGGAGGACAAGGTGGAGGACAAGGTGGAGGTTATGGCGGGGGACAGGGTGGAGGACAAGTAGGTTATGGCGGAGGACAGGGCGGAGGACAGGGTGGAGGACAAGGCGGAGGTTACGGCGGAGGGAAAGGTGGAGGACAAGGCGGAGGCTATGGCGGAGGACAAGGTGGGGGACAAGGCGGAGGTCATGGCGGAGGACACGACGGAGGACAGGGTGGAGGCTATGGCGGAGGACAAAGCGGCGGCCGCGGCGGGGGACACGGCGGCGGACACGGCGGCGGACACGGCAGCGGCTACGCCGCACCCCGGCCGTACCAGTTCGACTACAAGGTGGACGTAAAGCACAAGTACGGGCCAAAGTTCTCTCAGCGAGACAAGAGTGACGGCCGGACAAGCAAGGGGGGCTACAGCGTGGCGCTGCCCGACGGCCGCACCCAGAAGGTAGAGTTCACAGCCGACCATGTCGGCTACGGCGGCTACGTCGCCCAAGTGACGTACTCGGGAGGCGGGCAGAAGGCGGCGGCCGCCGGCGGGTACCACTAGCGGCGCCGCCCGCGGTCAACGGCCGCGTGCAGGCGTGACACGTGCGGCAATGCCAATAATTGAAGATCCCCGGAGTCTCCGGGGCGCAGCCAAAGTGTTTACTGTTATGCATGTCCGGGGCCATGCCTGGGCCTTTTTAAATACAAAACTTCACAACCTTGTGCATTTGTGTGATACACCGCTCCGGGCGATCATGCTACGTTAAAGAGCCACTACAAGGCAACGCGCAGCACACAACAGGCGGATTTTTGGCTCCGCCACTGGCGCGGCTGGGCGGCTGGGCGAACGTCTCCCGCCTGCTGAGGCTGAGCCCGCCGGACCGGCGCCCTCACCGTGCTGGAGGCCGGCGAGGAGGAGGCGTCGGCCGGCGGGGCGGCCGGCTGCGGTCGTAGGGCGCTGAAGCAGCGCTGCACCACGGCCACGCGCTGCCGGATCCGGCAGGCCGAGAGGCAGCTGGTGCTGGCCTGGCCGGCGGCCGCCACCTGCTGGCGGAGCAGCGCGCGCAGGCAGGCCGACAGCTGCTCGGGCGTCGCCCCGCTCTGCCCACTGCCACGGCTGCTGCTGGAGAGCGGGACGGCCCCGGATCAGCACCGCACCGACACGGACACACCCGCTCTCTGCGTACGAGAGCACTGGATGGGCATGCCATTAAGTGGCTTGTCTGGGCGACGTGGCCGAAGGGGTACGCTTTTATGGAGCTGCGTGATCTCTTTAAGATTAGAACATTGCTCGTTTCGTAAAAGTACGTTTGTCTTATCCCATATCCTCGTAAAGTGTGGGGGCAATAATCCAGGTCAGGACTGATGACATCCTTCACCTTCACCAGAAAGCCTTCACCAATTCTGAGCTGATTCCACTGGGTCTTAATTTGCACTAAAATGGTACCTGTTAACTTTATAGACTTCAAAACCCGCATAAGCTGAGCGACGTTCAGCTAGTGCATGCAACTAGTACGCGCAGAGGCACCACGGCGTCGGGATTACACGTTTGGATCGCACACACACAACCAACCAATCCGGAACAGCGAATCAGTCAACGGAAGCGTCATACAACAGCAGCCTGCCAGTGCATGCGTGACGGACCACAGCGACCACAGCGAGTCTGCCGGGTCTGCCCCGCCTGCGGGCCGTGAAGCGCGCGCCGGCCGGCCCGGCCAGCGCCGCCCGGTCCCGAGCGGAGGCCGGCGGCGGGTCTGACCCCCACCTGAGCGCGCGCCGACTGCGGCGGCTCCGTCTCGCTGGCCTGCTCGCCGCCCATCTCGCGGTCCAGCTGCTGGCACGGTTCACAGTTGCAGCCATAGCCAGGGCCGCAGATGCCGTCGCAGCATGGACATGTCAGCGAGCGCGCGCCGCAGTAGAAGTGACCGCTTTCGCCTGCCGGAAGGCCGCAGAGGTTAACTGCTCCGCTGGCCGTGGTATCACAGTCGTTTGCTGGACAGAAACGGACGATGTGGGTGGTGCTGGGCTGTTGGTGCTGGGCTGTTGGTGCTGGGCTATTGGTGCTGGGTGATATTGGTGCAGGATGGTGATATTAGTGTGGACGGTGCCGAGCTATTGCACCAATGACGCCATAATGGAAACAGATGCAGTCCACAGGTTGCATGGTAAGTGGAGCGCACCAATGGGCTTAAATGCGACACTCAAGCAGGTCAGCACAATAGGAACAGATCTTGCAAATTCACCAACACAGCACTCCACCCAGTGCAGTGGCTGGCACCACAGCTGTGCCAAGCCCATCACACGCGAACCGCCCGGTACGCGGCCACACCCCTCAGGCCCCACTCCTTGGCTGGACGGCCGCGGCACGCGCGTACCTTTCCTGGCGACGGCGCCGGCGGCGTTGACAAGGCCGTCGCTAAAGGCGCCCGTCAGCTCGCCGTCGGTCAGCAGCTGGTTCCAGAGCCGGCAGAGGCCGTCGCGCGTGAACACCTCCTGGATGTCCACCTGCTGCCAGCGGGCGTCCAGCTGGCGCTGGTAGCGCAGCGTCATGTCGCCGCTCATGGCTTGGCCGCGGCTCCCGGCCGCCTACGCAGCGGCGCGCATCGGACTGGCCTGCGGTGGGCGGGGGTGACCCGTGAGGCGCGACGCTATGTTGGGCACAGTTGGGGATGAATGGAGAGGAGGGAGCACTGGGGTAGCTGGTGATCAGCATGAGATGGCTGTTAGTGACTATGTGCTACACAAGCACACTTACTAAACAAAGACCACATCATCTGAGATACCAATGTGTTACTGAGAGATCCATGCTGACATTTCAATGCAACAGACAACTACATTGCAGATGAATGTGATAATCACTGCAGCTGAAATATACAAGCATCTGCTTCCTGCAGTGGAGGATTGGACAGCAAAGTGAAAGGTTGGGTACATTTATGCAGAATACTTTGCCAAGTGGGGACCATTTTTCCAAATTCAACTGAAGTCATTTTTTTCTGAATCTGTGTCATGTGTGTCAAGGTATCCTGCTATCATTCCTTTGTTCTTTACGTATTTTGGTCAAAATAACATGCAATATTATTTTGTGGGAAAATTATTTTAAAATATTATTACCATATATATATATATATCTGTGTGTGTGTGTGTGCGTGCGTGCGTGCGTGCGTGCGTGCGTGCGTGCGTGCGTGCGTGCGTGCGTGCGTGCGTGCGTGCGTGCGTGCGTGCGTGCGTGCGTGCGTGCGTGCGTGCGTGCGTCCTACTACATCAAGAGTCCTACTACATCTCAAATATATTGGAGGACCTCACATTTATTATTTATTTACATACTTCATTTACATACTTTCGTACACTCTTTACTATCCTTATTTGCATGTAAATTAAGCTACCTTGGTAAACTGCATAGGGATGGGCTTAAACATGAAACCCATGAGATGGACCTCTCAAACTTAATATCTATACAAAGTAAAGACAGCAACAGTCCTTGAGCATATCACAAATGGTCAAAATTGCTTGACATTCCAAATTATATTGATGGTTGTCAAAAAATGTCATATGAGACATTAGCATTAAGCATGCCACTTTTGAAGATAGGCAAAAAGGATATCTTGAAGAAAAAAGACTGGAGTAGCTGCCAAAAATATCCAACGCACAAGTATTTATCACATATATTGGAACATTCAACCAATTTCACCACTAGCTTCTATGACATTTAGGTTGTATTCCCAGACATCCTAAATACAAAAATATATGTCAGCCTTTCAAAACTAAATGGGAGTCTTGAACATCATGGCAAGCTACAAAGTGCTTAAAAACACATCACATCCTTAAATTAGAAAGAGTGCCTATATCAACACCAATGTTTTATCCACTTTTGACTTTCTAAGGGAAAATTGGATAGATCTGAATCACAACAAACATTATAGGCCTTAGAAGCTTAAAACCATCAGTTTGCACATACCCAGGCAGACACAACAGTGAAAATGGACATGTTGAGCTGATTAAGAAAATAATGAATGAATGTGTGAAGTACTTATGAGCCTGCCAAATGAATAAATACATAAATTTATTTACCACAAATATATGGTAATATGATCACACATGAAGTGCATCATCTAGAGTAGATGTGATGACACACTGGCACACAAATGCTATTATTAGGCAGGCACATATTGCCATGGGTATATGTCCAAAGGCACTCACACTAGCATACTAGACACCTCAGCAATTGTATTCACCTTAAAAAGCATGCAGGTGGTAAGATGATCAAGACTTAGATTGATAATGTGCAAATTTAATGGGTTGCGTTGCATGGGCAAAAAAAACAGCCTTCTTCACACCGATAACTGCAGCGTTTCACTGCCAGGACATCATGCACACAACCACAGGAAGTCCACATAGCCTTTGCTTTGACCAGGGCTTTGAACTTACGAGTGTACCACAAATGTTTCCGATAGTCGCAGTAAACCCTGCGATGCCCGAAGTTCAGGTACCCCCACGGTACATCCCCTGTCTCCCTGGGCCAGACAGGCGCCTCCGATGTTTATGCTGTATTGCAGACTGCGGTTTGGGGTATTGACATCTCTCGTCGTGGTAGGTAAAAGATTTAATAATAGGAGTGAAATGTTGTTTTGAGAGGAGCCAAAGTGCAATTTGCCTTACTGTGACAGTCATAAGATGTCAAAAAACTGCAAAATTGTTTTTCCTTGCAATCTATTTGATTTGCTGGTCTTTGCATTTGTTGTGTTAAAGGAAAATTTTGGAATTTTGGAATATATTTTGTATTCGCTAGATATTTTCTACCTTTACATCGCCCACTTATGTAGGCAGTTATACCGCTATTGTGTGTAAAGCGCCAATGAAGGCCATGGTCCCACCTTGCCATAGGGGTTCCGCGTTGCCGTGTTCCTGTTGTTCTAGGTGGCCTTGGTGTTGGTGTAGTCCGTGCTATCCTCTCTGCGACGGGTTAGGGTGTGTAGGGCCCGGGGTGATCATGCCATTTGGTAGAATTGCGGTCACATGTGTGCTTTGTGGACCACACGGTTTAGTTATTGAGTTATTTGTGGTATATGTGGCTCACCTTTCGTCACGTTGGTTGATTGGAAACCAAACCTGGTTGCTAGCTGTATGTTGTTTTTTATGGTCTCCCTTTAAGGTTTGTGGGGCAGTGTCGTTACCAATTTTCCTTTAAAATAGAACCTGATCTTGATGTGCTGCTATGCAGTATCCATAGGCACTTGGAGAAGTGCTTGGACATGTGGAAATGCATATTGTGAATGGAGAGAAAAATCATATTGCTACAGATGTAATGTATGTTTCAGGAAACAGTGGCTATTACCACACTGGGAACTGGTACACTTCCAAAAAGGTTGTTGGAATATGGGGGATTTGCCCACGGAAGTAGTGTTTGAATGTGCATGAATGTGCACGAATGTTTTAAGGAAGGTGAACACCAGTATGAATGAACTTTGAATATTGCTTTGCCTATGATATTGGTATTGCATATCCATCATAACCTCTACTTGTGCATGTTCCTGCAGATGGCACAATTTTCCTGTATCTTTATGCATGTGATTCTTGACTAATAGTGATAGTAATAGCTTGAATGGCCATGATGATGCTTTTCAAAACCGAACAGAAATTGATCATGTGTGTACCTGCTTTTTATTTGTTATAACTTGATCCAAAAGCAGTTTAAAAAGGTTAATGATATGATTTGGAAATGAAAAGTTGTTTAATGCTTATGTCTAAAAAACAAAGATTTGTGATAGGTTAACTTAGGATATGTCAGGAAAATTTATTTCTGCATCTATTATTAACTATGCTTACATACTCCTGTATTAACTATTAATTTCCTGCATGACAGTCATTAAACATGATTCTTGCATGACAGTCATTAATCCTCATTCTTGCATGGCCATCATTAAACATGTAATGCATTATATTTGAAATTTGAAGGTGAGATAATTGCACCAATATAAATGTATTGTCTATGTCTCATAAGATATTAGACATGCTTTTGCATCATTAATGAGCAGACCTTCCAATGTTTATTAGGTCAATATTGCATGGTTAAATAAGATGCAATGGTATCAGGTTACAATCAGGCTAATTAAGGTTACATGGATAAATAATATCATTTACATTACCTCTAGATTTCAACAATCCCAACACCAACTATTTCTGTCCACTGGACATCATGTTTGCAATTTGTCTGCTTGAAATGTGATTGTTTTACATGGGTGTGAACATACTCATGGCATGGTATGTTAAGTCACCATTATTACCTGCACCATGAATGTTCAGTGATTTTTAAGATTATGTTGTTCCAGTTAAACAAATAATTTTGTATTTGGCCATGTTCCTGCCAGGAATGCAGATGAATATCATGTCATACATTATTACAGCATATTGCCCAGCATTGCCTTTCAAACAACAATATGATTTAACACAGGTATGATATTCCAGGTAACACAATGGTGCTTGCAGCCCAACTGACTGGGTACCTGGTGTCAATATGCCTCAGTCTGGTAGTTTTGGTGCCAATGGTGCTAAATCTGAAGGATTTCAGGTAAGGGTATGCCTTGTATCTTACTGTTCCACATTGTATCCCCATGGCTGCCTCTGCAGTAGCTCAGTGAGTTAGAGTGCCTTCCCTCAGCCCTTCTGTGGCAGTATGAGTGGGTATGAGTGATTTTGGAGCTCACTTTTGGCTCTGATTTAATAGTGCAGTGTGACTGATGTCATACTGAAGTGGAAAGGCACATATAAAATTACTAGGCATTTGACAAATTCCTCAAAGGGCTATGTTTGAGTACAGACCCAGTGAAGAGATCTGGGAGTTCCCTCAGCAGTGGTTGTTTGCAGGGAGCAGCAGTTTTCATAGCAGCTACATCATAGCAGTTTTCAACACCCCTTGTCTTTGACATCATCCAAAAATTTTGCACCATTAAAGTGGGCTAGAAAAATGTGTGCACCTTTTTGCATTTTTGAATACATCTATATATTGAAAATAAATGTGTTTGAATTCATGCCTGTGCATAACATTTCACACCATTCCACATACTGAAAGATGTTGATGAGCACAGTCAGCTACCTACATAACAAAACGGTCTGCTGTTTCATTTTTATTTTGCATTTCTTGCTGTAACTTATGAAGTGAAAAAAATACATTACCATGAATGTGATGCTTGACCCTAGTTTGTGTTCACAAATGCAGCAATGCTTACATCATATTAGCAGGCTGTCAATGTGCTATCAATTAATGCTTGTCTGCATGCGTGCTCCACCAGGCACAAATGTCTCCTGTTCACCACGGGTGACTACCGGGAGGAAGACGGCCAGTTTGTGCCTGTCTGGGCCTCCTGCGTGTACTGCTACTACGTCATGGTGGTGGCCGCCTCCATCATCTTCATCTGCATCGTGCAGGGGGCACGCACCCTTGTATTCCTCCGGAACAACACCGACACGTGGGTGCACGCGGCAGCGGCCTGGGCTGGCGTGTCGGCCGCAGCTAGGTCTTGAGGAGGGATCGTAGTTCGGCCACGTGCGTGTTGTGAAGAACGGGTCATTGGGAGGCTTTGGTTTGCTTAGGTCTTTTTGACTGCTGAAATGTGGATAAACTTGCAGTATGTTGAGTATCTGCATTGTTTTTGTATCCAACAGCTTGTTTTCAAAACTATACGTGATTGGCCATGTCTTGGTTGGGTTCCACAGCTTATAAGACAGCGGACAAACAGAAGACTGTGATCACCATTCTTTGCGTACCACTCGCCATTTTCCTTGACTTCCAAAACACCAGTGTCTCGGTACTGTCTGTTATCTCCCTTGTCTTCCGGGGTGCGTTTTGTTGACTAAACCGCTATAACCTCTATGCGGTGCAAATAACGCCTTCTGTAAAGCCTTCCAGTCTGACTAGTGAAGTTTGCCGCAGTATCTCTTATTATCGTCAGAAGAGTTTTAACGACTCGCTTTCGTGCCGCAGGTCGTTCGCTGGCGCCTTTGTGGACATGATCCTGTGCATAGTGATCACGTTCGCTTCTCTGGCGGCCGCCCTGTTCGTCACCCTCGGGTACGAGGTGTGGTGCAACAATATCACCAAGCGCTTCGCCACGTGAGTACGCCTGTCAGCTGAGAGTTAGGTGGCTTCGAGCCGGAAGTGCGTGGGCCATGTCGTCGACCGCGGCCTTCTGGGGGTTTGCTTTATCTCTCCCCTCCCCCCCCCCCCCCCCCCCACACACAAACCCGACTCGTCTGTGCAGTGCCAAGTTGTCAAATCTAGTGGCAAAGGATAGTCCTGGCCATTCTCATCTCGAGCACACAAATACAAGATGCGTTGCGCGGTGTGGGAGGCCGTATGCCGCGTAAAATACCACGCAAATCGACTTAATGGCTTGATAAGCTTGAGCTCCTCTAGCAACGTGAATGGTGGTTACAGGACTTCGAAACAATACTTTAACAAAAGAGCGTATTGTGTCGTCAAAATATACCACCATGCAAGTACATAGTATGTGTTCGTATTGTATTCAGTCTTTCGTTCATTCGTTTACTATTTATACACCCATTCATTTCATTTATTTCATGCATTTTATGTATTCATGCATGTAATCATTTTAATATTGAAATAATCCATTCAGAATCAAAGGCGTATGTTAAATCATGCCATGTGAGCTATCTTCTCTCCAAAATCACGTCTCATATTGTGTCATGATCTTAACGTCGGTACTGTCTTATTTTGCTTCGAAGATGCCTTGGCCTTGGGCTGTGTGTAAAATGCTATCAGAGTTTCCGGGTTCATAAAAATATGCCTGCCTCCCAAGGTGTTCACTCTGGCATTGTCGACACGAGCGCTGCTTCGTCACCACTCGACAACGTGAAAAAAAAAACTAGAAAAATGGGTAAAGATACAAAAATTATCATCGTCCATGCTTTGCATAGTCATCACATTTTTGTTGTGTGCTGTGGAGGGACGTCGCTCACAAGCTTTCTGGGAAGTTAACGTTAATCCTGTGTTGTGCGTGGGTTCTTACGAAAAAAAGATTATTTCACTCCCCTTGAACGCACCTCCATTGTTTTGATGGACCCTGGCGCAGGCTTAGTGACGGATTCCTCACACGGTCTCTATAACATGAATGTGGTGGGCAACGACGGCCACTCGGCACTCCCAGGTTGACCTGACATCGTCACCTGTGGTGGCGAGCCGAAGCTCCATGTCGCACCATTGGCTGTGTGCCAAATGTGACGTCATATCTGATAACTGACTGGGACTAGTACAGCGTCGAACCAGTTGGTGTCTTACATCAAAATAATCCGAAAATGAGATTGAAGCTATCGGTGTGCAACCTCTGGAATATCAGAACCATGCGGGTTTCACTAAGGACTTGTCATGTAACGAGATGTTGCAACGAAACATTCGCTTCCGTCGAAAGCATCGGATTGATCAGTGAACAATTGCGGACATGCCCGGCATGCCCGGAGGCGTTCCGATGTTATCAAAAGCTAGTGGAATCATAACTAGGGCAGCATGTCATATTCACTGAATACTCGAGTACGTTTTCTCGGTCAAAATGATGTCGTCTCGCAGATGCGTGGTCTGCCTCCTATAGTGGGTGGCTGGTCTGCGGTGTAATACCATGGATCTTCGCGCGAATGGGCGTTTCAATGTATGTTGTCTTTTCACATGTCTTGGCGTATCCTGCGTGTGCGAAGGAAGTTATGAATCAGGCTGATGAGAGCAGTCTGAGAATGTTGTCAGAAAACGTAAAAAAGAATAATGTTTTGGGGTGCTGATTCTGTGTCGGTTAGCGCGTCTGCGTTGACCACTGCAAGTTCGGGAAACAAAAGGTGCGGGGTTCAATTCCCTGCGTTGCCCGCCTTTCGTTCCAGGGTGAGAAGCGTTCAACGCCATACAGCCTCAGCAGCTGAGTGCGTCGTTAAGTTCCAATGGCAAAAAACACATATGCTCAGGTGAAGTTGCAGAGCCGCGCCGTTCAAACCGGTCGTTCGCACCCTTGCTACATCCATGTTGGCTGGCTCTGCCTGCTGCCTGTGTGGCCCAGCACGGCGCCGTCCGCTGCGCCGCTGCCGGGGTCGTCGGGCCGTTGGTCGCCTGTGACGGCCGGTACTCTGTGCCAGGTGCTCGGACGCCACGCAGAACGAGATCGACGCGGCTGACCAGATCGACACGACCAACTTCTACCTGGAGATCGGCATGGCTCAGGTCGGGACACGCACCATCCGCTGAATGTAGCACGCCTCGTTCCTTTCCCTCCTCCCCCCCCCCCCCCCCCCCTTCTCCGCCCGTGTTGACGGCTGGCGAAAAGCACGCAGTGGGCGTTTCTTAAGTGTCCTTGAATGATATGCATTGTAAGCGTGATTTTAAGGGCTACTTTTGATGAAAGTGAGGCTATATTTTAATGAAAAGTTCCTGTAGCATGTGTGCCAATACTATTAGGTGAACAGCAAATGTGTAGGAAACGGTTATGATTACCGCATTCTGCTTGAATTAATCATTTGAGCTAAGCACGAGATGAAATATGTTTCATTGCCGCGACCGCTGACGCCGTCGCCCCACCTTCAGACCCCCTCCCCCACTTCCGCCTGACGTGTGGTCCGCCTGGCCGGCAGTTCGGCGCCTGGTGCCTGTGGTCGGCCTCGGTCGGCCTCACGCCTGACGTCGTCGCCCACCCCTAGACCCCTCCCCCTTCCGCCTGACCGTGTGGTCCGCCTGGCCGGCAGTTTCGGCGCCTTGGTGCCTGTGGTCGGCCCTCGGTCGGCCTCACTGTCTGCGCCGTGCTCAAGATGTGCCGCCACCACCACGACGAGAACATCCGCTCGAGCATGGCGCGCGAGCGCGAGCGCCAGCGGATCATCCGCAGCGGGCGCAGCTCGCGCTACGACAACCTGGTCGAGGACGCCGACTAGGGCTAGCGCGCTGAGCGAGGGGCAGCCGCCGATCGGCCGGCCTGCCGCGCATAGGGCAACAGCACGGGAGGGGGGGGGGGTCAAAGATCAGTGGGACGGTTTCCTTCCTAGCGGATGAGTTATGACAGTTGGTCTAGCGACGGAGGGAAGAGGAGCGCCGCGGTTGAAGAATAGTTAGTGTTGATTGTTGTAAATGCTCTGGGACGGAGCGTCTAGCAGTGGTCTAGTGCCGGAGCTCTGATATACTGGAGTGCTCCGTAGACGCACCTCAAGCTGCAGGCAGGCCGGCGCCGGCGCCGGTCTCCAGGATCGGCCCGTGTCGCTCCAGTGGAGACGTCGCGGGCGCGAGGTTGCCGGCAGCGCTGGACACGGGACGGTGGGCGATGCTCCGTCCCGTGTCCGCAGCGCGGCCGCCTGGAACGGCCGCGCTGCGTGCCCTCGCTGTCTCGTCTCCTCTACTGAGGGCCGGCAAGTGTCCAGCGTGAGCATGCGTGCCAGGCGTGTCATTGCTGCAGTGGCTGTGCAAGTCTGTCAAATGCAGTTTTGTTGAGTGTGCTGGGTGATCTGATGTAGTGGTATCTCTTCATGTATTACTTTGTATACTGATATATGTGTTCAGTAGCACAGTTTGTGACTGGGGAACTTGAACTCTAATTGGATTTTGTTCTTTTGGGAGAACGTCCTGAAGCCTTTAGTGTGAGCATCGTGTAACGGCGGAGCATGCTGAAAACTAGTAATAGCCACCTCTATCAAACTAAGTTTTGGCATTCAATGTGTGCTGAAAGCAATCTGCCGGTGCCTGAAATAGCTGAAACTGTATTACCCGCACGGGACTGAATGTGGGCCGGGACCATGGCACATGTTTACGCTGTGTCCCGGTCATGATGATGGTATGCGAGTGGGGTGGATAATTATGCTACGCCAGACTGGAAGGCGACGCTAATCGACGGTAGCAATGCTGCAAGTGTTGTAAGACGCTGCTAGGCCGTAAGCAAACCCTCTCGGCTTAGTGTGCGTCGATACGTTAGTTGTGTTATCTGCTGCATTTGGGCTGAAAGATTATTTCCCAATACATAAGGTGCAATTAAGTTTTGTTAGTGAAGTTGCGCGCGTTTACGCCAGTTGACAGAATCCTGCTGTGGCGCATCTTCAGAGATGCGAGACACCGCAGGACTGCAAACATCGCTTTACCTACCACGGATTGCGGATGCCCCGCAAACTGACCGAATTTGGCCCATGCGTGACCCGAGAGTCACAAGCAGTAACGCTGGCGCATGGGTGTGTGAATTGGCCTAACGAGCTGGCCGCGAGTGAAAGAATATTTCCGTATGGTGATGGCTAATGTATGGAGCGTAAGTTATCTCTGAGGAAGTTTAATAGATGCACCACACGTGGAAGGTCATGTAGGTCAAGGTCATAGTAGCATCGCCGTCCGACAGAGCTCTCGCAGACATTGTGTGATGTCCATTCCGTGCACAACTAAAATTATTGCACCTTGAATTCCGAATCATTACCAATCAGAGCTCCGGCCCATAGTTATACCGAGTAACCAAACGCTCTCGGGGCGTCGACCGGAGGAAATTGGAACCAAAATCCGACGAGTGTGTTGTACTGGCAGTTTGGCCCTATATCGGTGCTACCGAATACACACAGTTGCAATCTTCGGGCTTGATTGAAGATGATTTCCTGGCCCTCCGTGTAATGGTTATCAATACGGGTAGACCGGAGGCAGTCGGTATTGCGCCTTCAGGTCATGCTAGCCAACGCGAGATCTGACTTGCCGGCCGATAGTGCTCCCACCACGATATCGTGTGCGCAGAGTTGCTCCTTCCTAGTACAAGTAAAGGCATTTCAACTTGAATGCAGTTTCTGTGAATATCGCTGATCTGGCTGAAACTGAGGCATTTAGTGATGCGTTTTAGGTGGTCCACTGGATAAAATCGAATCTGATAGCCGACATTTGTGTTGCACTGGCATCTGATGGCCCTGTTCCGAAGTTGTCGAACGCGCACAGATCCAAACATTGGTACTGATTTTGATTATTTCCCGAGTCTGCGTATTATGGCTATCACTCTACGTCCAGTCTGGATGCGCATTAAAACGTCTAGAGCTCATAAAGTCCAGTGGTCAAAAAATCCAGAATCGCAGCACCCAGCGTTCATAACATCCAGACACTGTCCAAAGTCCCTGGACAGAGGAGAATCATAAACTCCAGGCTCGCAGCGTCCCGTGTTCGAAGAGTTCAGTGTTCATAAAGCCTAGCGTGCGTGAGATCCACGGCTTGGAATACTGTCCCACTTCCTGGCAACCCTTCACCTAATGGTTCGGATATTGCCCGTTAAAGGGCTACCGAAGCCGATTTTTCCTGCCTCAGCCGACGAGTGACGTCATGCGGTGCAGTGCTGCCCAGTTAAACCACTGTGCATGGATATGGACAACGTTTTGTTTGAACGCACAGATTTTGCCACGACAGCACGCCCTTGGCAGCAGGAGCACTAAAGAATTTAAAACTTTGTTCCCTGGTTCGGGGCATTGGAAATAGCTGGTTATTCGGCAGTAACTGCACGGTAATCGTGGAACGGACGGATGGCTATTGAAACGTCCAGAGTTCATTAAGTCCAGTGGTCAAAAAGTCCAGAATCGCAGCATCCAGCGTTCATAAGACAAAAAAACGTCCAATCATAAAGTACAGTGTTCATAAAGTCCAGCGTGCGTGAGATCCACGGTTTGGGATATTGTCCCACTTCCTCGCAACCCTTAACATAATGGTTCGGATATCGCCCGATAGAGGGCTACCGGAGCCGATTTCGCCCGCCTCAGCCGACGAGTGGTGCCATGGGGTGCAGTGCTGCCTAGTTAAACCACTGTGCATGGATATGGACAAGGTTTTGTTTGAGCGCACAGTCTTTGCTGCGTCAGCACGCCCTTGGCAGCTGGCGCATAAAATAATTCAAAACCTTGATCACTGGCTCGTGACATCGCAAATATCTAGCTATTCGGCAGTAGCAGCACGGTAATCGTGAAAAGTACTTGTCGGGCTGCCTACTGTTTGGTATTGTGGGCCATGGATAAGATTATCCGCGGTATGTGGTTCCGTCATTTACTGTATGTGACGTGATGTTTCTGTGATGTGGTGATGGTGATGTTTCTCATTTCGAAGGAATTGATGACTGATGTGTAAGGCTGACTGATTTGATGTCTGTTCCAGGTAGGCGCGCATATAGATCTCAAGCTCCTGGCACGCTAACATCTATTGTTAGTGATTTTATTTGACTGATTCCCCTCCCTCCTCCATTTTCAACTTCTTTCACACGCTCCTGCAAACGGGACTTATTCCGAATTACACATGCCTTTACTTTCAAAGAGAGGGGATGAGCGCTGTCTCATCAGCTGAATCCGGATACTACTCCCTGGTGAGACACGTTCAATGGCCCAGCCTACAAACGATTCTTCTCTTCAGTCAGGTGCGTTTTAAACGGGCTTGGTTTACCAAAATCAGTTGGTTGGTTGAGCGATGAAAATACAGCGAAGAGTACCGTGATAATATGCCAACGCATTGGTTTCTATCCGAATTCGGATCACTTTCTTACAAATCTGCAGTCGGCGACCAAAGTTACGGCGGGGGTAGGCGACCAAACTTACCCCTGCAACTGAATAGGAAACCGCACTCCTGGTTGCAAGTAAATGGGAAGTAAAAAAGCAAACGTTGATTGCGAATGTATTCAACTGCCTGCCAAACATCACGCAAAACACTACGCACGTGCCGCTCTTAAAGATCGCTGTTGATTCACCATCTGAACAGCGGAGTCGAGTGTATGTCACTGAGCTGGTTTGTGATATATAGGCTGAATAGATTGGTAGAATCGTGGGCTTGCATTCGCCACCCCCTTCATCAAACTTGACACGCTTCCTTCCTTTTACGCTTCAGAACCTCCTAAGTAAAGAATTTGGGGTCCAGCAACGCCAGTCTGGAGTTCATCGTGACCGGTGCAGTTCGCGCCGCAGAGGGGCGATGGTGGCATGGTGGTTAGGGTGCTCAACTCTGGACTTTTCTATCCTCGGATGGAGTCCTGGCCACAGCACTACCGCATCCCACGTACTGAATGCCTCATAAATGCGTAATAGAGGCGTTCCGCCTCGAAATAGCCATAGCAGCCGGTGAGACGTTAAGTCCCAGTCTGTATTATAGCCCGTCCCGACAAACAAACCGCCGCCCGCCAAATTTGCAGACAATGCTTCCGCTCCATCACTGCATATATGTGGGAATAATGATGTGCAATCGGTTGGACGCGGAGCTCGGACACACAGGCCGGCCCAGAAGCCGCCCAGTTCGAAGGCCCGGCCGGCAACCACGCCCGCGGCGGGCCGGCGGACGAGGCAGCCGGACCGCCAAATAAAGAACGCTTTCATGTGCGCGTCGTCCCTCGCCCAAGAACAGAACCCCGCCACAGGCGCGCGAGGCCTGTCCGTGGAGCAGCCCGTTCGCGGTCGAAACGCTGCCAGCTCGGTACGGTGCGCCGCCATCTTCGCGTCAGAGCCCGAGGCCCCTGACTCGGTTTCACTCGGTACACATCCCGCCGCGGTACACATCCCGGCGAACCGGACATCCGGACGTGTCGGACACATCGAGATCTCGCTCGTGCTGGGCCGGAGTCGTCCTCCCCCCCCCCCCTCCTCCTCCTTGACGGGCGCCTTAATGAAAGAGCCTCATGTCAGTCAGGAACAAGCACCGGACAGGGTCCCTCTGCCCGTTTTCTCTAGGACCAAAATGCGTCGAAATGGGATCCCTGTGCTATTTATTAAATCCGCTACTCTTGGGACCTTTTTGAAACGGTGGGTGGCCCCGCGTTGATCCAGGTTTTGACTATTCCGGTCAGAGGGCTTTCGGCGTCAGAGAGGGAACTATTATGAGTAGGAGGCCATTACGTGTAGTAATAGCAACCGATTGGAAATCTGGAAGGGGACGGAAAGGTCCTTCAGCCCCAATCATGAAACGCATCGGGTCTCAAGTCTTGGCTGAAAACTTTATTGGGGTCTGGCTGTTGAAGGGGGGAGGAGCATGGGGGATGGGAGAAGGGCGAGGGGTCGAAGAACCCCTTGGGAGGAGCTCTTTTCGGAACCGTGAAGTCCAAAAAATGACCATACTGAATGCGAAGAGCAAAAATATTGCCAAACACAAATTCTAACAATGCCGTAGCAGCGTCTAGCAGTCCAGGAAGCCCTCGCTGGTAAACTCGTGGACCCCCATCTGGCCGTTCAGTCGGGACATGCGGTGAAGTTATGCATCAGATTTCGCCCCAGGTAGTGATCCAGAATCGGCTAAGACAAAGGGCTATTGTAGGTTAAGTCGATCGGATTTGTTATCGAAAATTATCTTCAGTGCGTGTCCCCGTTCACTTACGACAGTGTCATGGCGGGGCAGTGTGAATACATATTCAAAAATACTTATGTCTCGAAAACACTGCCATGCCAAGTGCTCACATGCATCATATATATCTTCTTTTTTTAGATTTGATCCTAACCCTTTGAACGGATGGATTTCCGGGATCAGAGCTCACCCTAAGCAGTGCTTGTTGTGTGAGCCCTGTGAGCCCTCTGACGTCAACTGACCTTTAGCGCGACCGCTGCCGCCGGCCACTGGCCATACCTGTCAAGGGCGAAAAGCGCGCGCCCTAAGGCGAATCGAACCGACCCCGCCACGGGTGGGTGGATTGGAAGGCAGGCGCTCTAACCAACTGAGCCACCGGGACGGACAAATATACGTTTTCGTGATTGACGGTGACAAGTTATTTAGATGATTCGTTCGGTGAAAATGACAGCATATCGTGCAATGTTCTGTTTCTTGTAAAAATGGTCTTGCCTCCGGAATATCTGGCCGGATTATGTCCAGAGTGACATAACGGGAGAGCTTTGGCACCCACAGATCAGAGTGCAAAAGTGTGGATTCGTGCAATGTTATGCTCAGGAAATATGTGACTGATAGTAATACCCCTTCTGCATATGCGTTGTACGCGTGTTTAAGCACCTATGCCCGCTGTATGTTTTAATCATCGCCCTGATTCACCGTTTTGCATAATTCGGACTGATAG